AACTTAGGCTAACTATTAGGCCAACTATTGTTAACTATCAGAGGCGCCTGAAAACGGGCTGCAAAGTTCAACGGCGTTCTCGCAATGAGATTTAATTTGGTTGTAAATGTAGTAATTTTTACAGTGAATGGAATCTACATTGCAAATAAATTATTATTATTTTTATAGTAAAATTCTCTTTCAAGCGCTAAATGAAGCGTATTGTTTCAAAGTTTAGAGTGTTCAATCGACAAAAGTCTAAAATAAAAATGAAATTTAGAAGTTTCGGAGAAATTTGTCTTGTTATAAATTGCTTTTCTTTTTCTTTTCCCCCCACCTCACAATGGCAACATAAGCATCAAATTTCTGGCGTAACGAGGGGATTTGCAAGGTTAGATGGGAAGACCAAATATGTTTGTCATAGCCTAATTAGTCTGCCTAAATTTTTTAACAATCAGACAATGAGAACAGAGAAACTACTAGTGAGTATTCGCTGGTCAGTGGGAGGGGGAGTAGAAAAAAGAGCCAAATTCCCAATAAAAAAAACAATAAATGGGAAGGTGTCGAAAAGGTGAAGCAAGGTTGAGGTTGTTCAATAGCATTGTTTTGCAAAGATTTTTTTAGTGGACACATTAATTTCGAAATCAAGAAAAACAACGCAGTATCGTACAAATGTTATGATGCAATAAAAACAATGGGTTCATTAAACCCTTAAGTTCGGTTTGAAGCATATTGTTGGAAAGTTTTGGCTTTTACGTTTGGAATTTTCAACCCTTAGTACAAATTAATCATAGTAGATTACTAAAAGTTTGCTGATCATTATTCTGTGCTTTTGAAATTTAGATATTTTAATAGAACAATTGAAGCGGTTATAGTGGGAGATTCTTCACTGCTGTGAGTACGCAAAAGTGTTCAAGATTTTTTTCTTTCATCACCTAAAATAATTTAGTTTGCCATTAAGGAAAGAAAGATTACAAATAGAGTTTATAAGATCTGTGATGCGTTTTTTATGGTTTGCAATCAGTGTGCTCCAAAAATAAAATTTTGGTGAAACACAAAAAAAACTTATAGCTATAACATAAAAAAGTCTTTTCAATAAAAAAAATTTAGGGACATTTTTTAGCGACAATGATTCGAATTAAAGCAAATCAACCGAAAACAAGGAGTTTAAGGAGTTAGCGACAATGGCTGAAACAATGATTTAAGGAGCTAGGAGATAAATTCAGAAAAAAGTAAGATACTGCTCAAATAGAAAATGATAAGGGAAAAAATATCAGCGTGTACTGATTGATAACCCTAGACAGATATACGAAACGCCATATGCAAAAACGAGTGAAGACAAGTAGCAGAATACAGAAAAAAATTTTAAAAAGGAAGTTGGCAAACTAATCCATACCCGCACCGACAAAAATGAATTAGGATCGATTTTAGTATGAAAAAAGTACGTTCATTAAATTTAGATCGATTTTAGTATAAAAAAATTACGAAGATTAAATAAAAAAGATAAAGATTGATTTGGATCGATTTAAAATCGATTTAAATTGATCTTAAATCCCAGCTAAAAAAATTGATCCAAATCGATTTTAAATCAATTTAAATGCATTTTTTCCAGTCTGAGTTTGTTTTTATTTTTAAGGGGATTAAAACGGATTTAAATCGATTTAAATCGACTTTTTTTCATTCGAGTTTTATCAGTTTCAAATTTTTATTCCATTACTTTTCTGCCTATCATTTTTGATTTTACATCCATAGCGTATTGTAGCATAAAAAAGACCAACTGAAAAGACCAAAATATCGATAAAATTCTAAGATTTTTCTGCCTATTTTTAGTTCAAAAACTGATCAATATTGACCCTTTTCTTGATTCGTTTCATAAGTTGTAGCTTAAAATCTGATTTACTCTCTTGATTTTCTATGATTTTATTGCAAATTATTGAGATCACAATTTAATTTTACCTGACCCTTTTCTGGTTTGTTACAAGATTTTGCCCATAATCTGATTTACAATGGTTTTTTATGATTTTATTGCAAGTTTTTGAGTTTTAAACCTGATTTATGTGGCTCATTTTATTGAATTCTATAGCATCTGGCACGAGTGTTTATGTTTAAAAAATCGAGAATAAAAATTCCAACAATTTTTTTAAAGGGTATGTTTTTTTCGCCGTGTTAGCAAAAAAACCGATTTTAGTGTGTCGGAAAATCCATCGAAATCGATTTAAATCAATTTTTAGGGACTTAAATTAATTTAAAGTTTTCAAAAAGATCGATTTAAATCGATTTAAAATCCATTTAATTTCCTAAAATGTAAATGGTTAATCGATTTGGACCAATTTAAAATCGATTTAAAATCAATTTAAATCGACCGGAAACCATTTCTGTCAGTGCGGGTCACCGTCACGTGATTTCGACTAACTATTTTTCCTCTTGATTTGCAGATACTTTGCAACAAAGTTTTTCCTCGACCGCCTTCAGAACGAGTTCCACGCACTACAGTTTCACGCGTCCTAATGAATGTGGAACCAATAATTAAAAGTGACATTGCAGCTATTATATGCTCGATGATACGAAAAGGGACCTTGGGCAAAGAATTAAAAAGTAAAAGTTCAACTAAGTTCGTCGTTGCTTAGAGCAGCTCAAATGCTTTGAAATTAAAGATTTTGATTTTAGAAAAACAACAAGACTGCTCGTGTATCAGGGCAAAAGCCTGAATGATTCGGCTGCACATGAATGATTCCATATCGAATAGGTTTCGGGGAAAAATATTAACAAGCTACAATTTTTGGACAATATCAAAGATCAAGTGTACATCGATCAGCTAGGTGGCGTCCCTCATGCTGGAGGGACTGAATGCTTGAAATTTATTTTGGCCTATTTTCAGCCAATCAGAATTAAGTATTCTAAAATCACAGGTAAATCGCAAAAATCTCAAAGTAAGCAAACAAAACCAGGCCATTAGTATTAATATTGACCGATTAGATAATGAGCAGATGAATGAAAAAAAGGCGGATCGAAAGCGGATTGGAACAAATTTAATATTTCAAGGACACCAATTTCGAAAAATGGAAAAACAAAAATTTAAATTTCTTATACCGGTACCTATTATATCTGCATCTAGTATAATTATTATATTATCATTTTCTGTTAATAATGGCTCCGATTTTGTGAGAAACGCATTTAGCCAATAGGGACGGCTAGCGATTTGATTTGGTGAAAATTTTTCCAGCATGAGAACCCTCCCCAATTAGCTAGCCTCAATTCCACTTGGAACGATTTTGGTGTTCGCGATAATTCGCCACGCATAATAAAAATTGCGTTACGTCTGCATTATGAATAAAATCTTCAGAGCGCATAAACTAGTCCAGAGCATGGCCATATTGGAAACTTTCAAACTCATATATTTTTGCAAAAAATACCTTTTTACATTTCATCACAAGAAGTTAATATCTTCAATATGGAAAAACGTTTTTTGCTAAAAGATATTTTTTTGATCGGCGAAAAATGATTGAATATGAAAAAACCACCTCAATCATAAAAATTCCGATCTCTTTGAAAGTCGGAACAATTAGCATTTATGATTTTTTTCACCAAAGTAATGAAAATACAGCTACGTTAAGACAAAATAATGATACCATTTGATTTCTTTGAAGTCAAAACAGCATTTGATAATGTCCGCCATAAAATTTTTTGAAAATTGCCTAATTACGGACTAGTTGGTTAAGTATATAATGGATTTGATGTTAATTGTCGAAACGTAAGCATTGTGTTGGAAGATTTGGATTTGGAAATGTATAGAGTATTGTGTACAGCTTTTAGGCCCACTTTTTGTTTCTACATATTAAAGTATCACAACTGTCGTATTGAGACCATACATTTTTTTGCCAATTCTTCAATTTTAAGTGCAATCAGCCAAAATATTGGTCCTTTTAGTCTGGGGCGTGTTGCTAATTGTTTTTTCCTTAAATATGAAGAAGACATTTGCTACTAATGATGCAAGCTTAGATATGGATTTAAAATTTTCTTCTGAATGTTTTGGTTAATGTTTAAATGTGCGAAATTACTACAAAACGTTTTTTATATTTTTTTATCATGCTGCTAATGTGTTCAGCAAAATTATATGCAAACAGTGTGAAATAACTGCTAAAAAACAGGCCTGTTGTTTAGCATAGAACAAAAAATTGATGGTTCTCAAATTTTGCCGTTTCTTTTAGCTTTCGACTAAATTGTTTTTTTTTCTTCAATTACAGAAACAGTTCAGATTTTTTGTAAGACAAAAAATCATTGAAACCATAAAAATGTTTATATACGAGCTAATCGAAATATTCCGGAGAACGCTAGAACTAAAACTTATATCAGAAAATTTTATGGTTACACTTTTGCTTTTGCGGTTTCAATTATAGAAGCCAGAAGGTTGACGTAAAGGTTTCATGATTAAATGATTTTTCTAAATATTTTAAGTCCGGAAGACGTTCTAGTTCTCGTTTAGAAAATATTTTCTAAAAGGATACTGTACAAGCTGGAGTTTTGTTTGTCATTTTTGAATGTTCATGGCGTCTTTTTAGGACATGATCGTTTTATGTCATTTTTTTTGGAAAATCTTCAAGAATAGACTTTGATTGAGCATGGATGCGACAAAACGAAAGATTTTTTTATTTTGGAGTAGGAAATTTTTTCTCTCTTTCATTTGCGTTTCTATAAAATCCACAGTTTGGCCGAGTAATTTTGCGTTTTTGATGCGAATAACTTTTCTAATCTTGGTTTTTCCAAAAACTATGTCAACTTTTTAATGAAGATGGTGAAAGAAGATGAACAAACTGAGACAGTTTTTCAAAAAAAAATCAATTTTTTTGAGGGATCTAAAATTGCATTGCCGAGCTCTCCATTACTTCTTCCAAAGACACTACTTTGGTTTTAGGTCAACCATTCAAAAATTAAGGTCGCAAATTGGTCGAATTCCTGTGAAAGGGCATCTACCGTCTTCCTGTAATCCGTCCCAACTCATTCCATTAAAAAGTTTGGTTCAAATGATAAATGCTAATTAGAGCAAACTGATTCAAAAAAGAACAAAAGGTTTTGTGTGGCAACTAAAGCATGATTAGATTGTCCGCATGATAGCACGTCGGCGGATTTGTCTGTCGGCTAACTCGACAATAAAACGATTGAAGTTTGATTTGTCATGAATAGTCTACATTTGTGGTGGCTGTTTTAGTACTGCTGGTGCTGACGTCTTCACTTATAGGCGTTAGCCCATTTGAGCCCGAGCTGGAAACTGCTCGCGCGTCTCTTCTGAAATTATTGACTGGTTGTTGCTGCTGTTGTCTGTTTGGCGAGTTCTGATTGGTGGAATAGTTTGACGTGTACCGATTGGTTGAATTGTGCAGATCGACGAATGCTTGTGACTGTGAGTTGACCACTTGCTCCTTTTGGGCGGCGAAGACAGAGTCGTCTGTAGTGAGCAGTTCGGGTCTGATCAGATAGCTGAAAATCAGACAATGTTGACAACAAAATTAGCAATTAAAAACGCCCCTTTTTTCAAAATAATGACTTGGCTTGGAAACCGGCCCTTTTTTCAAAATAAAACCCGGGTCGAGATCCGCGGCTCATGTCCAGACTTTCGCAACAATTTTTTGGCATCTCCAGACTTCCGCTACCTGGTCTTTTTTTCGCGACTTAGTTAATTGAGCTTGTTTTCCTTTAAAATTCAGATTTCTATTCGCTGATATTATTTTCAGCCAATCAAAATAGAGCATTATGATCAAACTTCCAAAGGAGAAAAAAGGTTACTTTCGGGCCATATAACAGGAAAAAATTCCAGTTACTCTTTCAGGTTTACTGTGCGAGGATATCAAAACTGCTCGTATCAGGGCAAAGCGCTGAATGTTTTGACTGCGATGTAATTTCTATGGAGTAATTTAAAATAAGATAATTGATGAAATTTTCAAAAAATACAAATTCAAAACTTTTTTTGATATGTTTTTATTTCTGCACGCGCTATGTAGAATTATCTCTGCACGCGCTAAGTAAAGTAAAAAATTCTAAATTTTGCAAATAGCAAAGCATCAAATAGACCAAAGAGCATGCCTCACTCCAATTTGGAACAACTTTATTACGGATTAAATCTCCGCTTACGCGTTAATAGGACGAAATATATAATTTAATTGACCAAATTAGCAATCTTTGAACCCCCACAGCTTTACAAAAAACAATAACTAAAAAAGTAAAATATCTTAATTAATCTGAGCTCAGAACAACAGTTCCTTTTGAATGATATAAAAAACATTAAAAGTTGTTGAATAAAAAGTCAAAATTTGTCTGGAGAAAAAAACCACCTCGAGCACAAATATTCCGTTACTTTCTTTGAAAGCCGGAACACTATTAGAAATATTAGGCTAAACGAAAGTGTTTTTTCAAAGTTGTCTTTTTTCTCGAATTGGGCCAAAATTAGACAAAAAGTGAGGAGAACAGAAGTTTGTTTAGAATTTTTACCAGAATTATTCTGGAGTAAATTATTTTACAGAATTCGGAACTAAAAACTTACACCAAAAAATTGGGGATTTTCGTTTTTTAGTTAATCAAACATTACGCTGAAACTATCAACTAATTTATTTTAAAAAATGAAGCTTCTTACACAGCTCAACAAAGTTCTAGAAAGGTAAAATCTAAAGCGAAAATATTTTTTCATAATTTTTTGGAGATTTTACCTTGCTAGAACTTTGTAGGGCTGTGTAAGAGGCTTTTTTGCATAGTTTTTTATAAATTAAATTTGTGGTTTCAGCGCAATCTTTGATTAACTAAAACAAAACAAAATGGCCCAATTTTTGGCGTAAATTTTTGGTTTCGAATTTCGCAAAATAAATTATACCATAATAATTCTGGTGAAATTATAAGCAATTTTTGTTCTCTTTTTCGTCTAATTTTAACCCAATTTGAGAAAAACGTGCTTGAAATTTCAACATTTGTTCGTTTTGAGCGGATTATTTAAATCAGCGCTGTATTTGCCAGTTTTCAGCAATTTTTGCCTGCAAGTTTTAATTTTTAGGTGAACTTGAAACATACTTTTTGCCAGAAAAAGAAACTTTTTCATGCGAAAAGGGTCTAAAATAGGTCTTTTGCTCTTTAATTTTTTTCGTCTGTTCTTTTTACTTTTTTGCAATTCTCTATACTTGATTTACATTCGATGCCCGAAAAGAATACGGCCAACAACTTGGCACTAACTGAACTCACACAATGTCATCCTTGCGCAGTTTTGTGTTTGGTTCTGGGTTCACAATGACGAACTTCCGACTACCGCTGTTGTTCTCAGTGGATCCTAAAATATGCCGACAATAACAAACTAATATTCAAAGCAACTGCAAATCCTTGTGAGTCGCCCAGACACGCGACGGTGAAACGCTGCGGTCTTCTCTTTCAGAAGAAAGGTCACTGGTTCGAGGCTCATCATGATCCGTGCTCTTAGCCTGCCCAGAAAAAAAGTGAACAAAAAAATTGCATATGTAGTTTTTAACGAGGGGCACAAAGGCGGCTCTTCGCATAAAGCTGATCCAGTTCATGGGTTGATTATTTCCTTCGTGTATGAATCGTCTTAAAAATCGTGAAACCTCAGATTCAAAAAACGCATTGCCTGATTATGGGCCCTTTAAGCTCAGTTTGGACCTTGAAAAAACCAGCATTGTACTCATTGGATAAATCAAAATATTTCTAAATTTGACCTAATCACTTATGAACTTTTATAATCTGAAAAGACTGCATAGTAGATCTCAAAATGGCTGGCTTAAAAAATGTTTTGCCATGCTGATTGCAGACTTCGAAAACTGTGCATTTTTATATCACAGAGGAATGTTTTGCTTGCCTTTGGCGTTTGAGTTAGTGTTGTTGTTAATTGCGGGGGGTTGTTGTGGGTTGCACTGTGTGGAGGCGGGGGTTGAGGTAGCTTCTGCTTCCAGTCGGAGCATTCTGTCTTTGAGGATCTGTCTGATCTGGGCCTCACACATCAGCTGGTCCTGCAATGAGTCATACTTTTCCTCCATCTTCAGCACATCCACTTCGCTACGCGCACTCGCCTACAAGTAGAAAAAAAACTCCATCATATTCAGCAGCAAATTTGACCTTCTGACCTCCCAAACTCCATTTATGACCTGTTTTTTTTAATTTGGCAAAACAGGAAATTAATAGTGTTTGTTATGAGAGCTTGCTAAACCAATTCGGCCCAACTAAAAAATGATCAAAAAATTCACCCCTCTTCGATAAAAATGCTGGGTAATGGGTATGTAATGATAAGATAACTAAGTTTATGCAACCCTGAAAATAGTTTGCTATTTTATTAAAAATATCACATAGTTAATTTGAAAAATAAAAATTAAACATCCTATTTATAAAAACAGACTAGCCAGTTGGAAGTTTTAATAGTTTTTAATCTTGTTTGTTAGGGGGTCAGCTACTGACATTTAGATTCAAATCTTCTTAACTACAAGGATATAACAGATTATTGCGCAAAAAGGACAGATTGTTCCCACCACTGATTCATTGAATAATAAAGAAACAGTTCTTTATTTTTGGTCGAAACAGTGGTCTAACATGATTTTTATATGAACAATAATTATATAAAAATCATGTTTAGTCTCTTTGCGTAAAATCATTTTAAGCAAATGGCGGGAAAATGCATGTCGAGATGTTGGTTTTCTTTGGTACTGAAAATGATCCGATCATGAGATTTCAGTAATTTGAAATTATGATGCACGAGCGGATCAACTTGCTGTTAATGCCGACCAAATTTATTTTCTCAACTTTTTTGCAAACAAAAAATTGAAAAACTGTCCAAAAGTGCGGTTTGTGGGCACTTTTTGAAAGGTTCGACCAAAAAATTGCTTTTTTTGGTTTTTTGGCTCTTTTTGGCTCTCTCTTCCCCCTCAAATTTACTATTTTTCGGCGCCAAACGCATAGACGATTTTTATCATCGAACAGCCAAAAATTGAGGACATAAAAGAACTCCGAAGCGGGATTCTTTGCATGCTCAGGGGTCGAAAATCTGAAAGAAAAGGATGTACCAGTCCGCTACCACTATGATGTATCTATAACTTTTCGTAAACAAAGTAGTTCACTTTTAACATAAAGTTGATAGATGAGAAACTTGTGATAATTGGATGATTTTTTAAGGATAATTTACGTCGCCAAATTGTCTGCAAACTAAATTGATGGTCTGGAATTGATCGTTTACAAAATGAGATCGCTTCTTGTTCTTGATTTTAATAAATAAGAAAAAAGACTTACGGGACGCGAATTCTATAGAACATTTTATTTGAATTATAACTGTGGACAAAAAATTGAAAAATTGAAATTAATTTGATTCTAAGAAAACAAAGCACAGTGCTTATTTGTGCGTCTTGTGACATGTTTCTAATCCCTTAAAGAGAGCAATAATTACCTAAAATCAAAACGATTAAGAATACGAAAGACGCGCTAGAGATTCATTCAAATATTGCTCACAGACAAAAACATATACGATACAAAAAAGTAATTGACGAGTAATATACGATACGATAAAATGTATTGCCCATGATAAAATCGGCTAACTTGAAATAAAGGAATTTTTTTCGTCAAAAATAGAAAAAAGTTCAACCAAAACTTTATTTAGATTTTTATTATTTATTTAGAGAATAAATATGTTTTCGAAAAAACATCGTAGAACAAGACAGTAACTGAGATATTTTTAATATACACTGTGAATTGTCTCAAAATTTTTTGGATGTGTTCATGACCGAACACAAGTGACTAAAACTACGGTTTACTCAAAACTAGAGTCACCAAAAGTTTGATCGTCTGGCATTTACAATGCATTGGAAACGAACTGCATTGGGTAAGAGTTAGTTTCACAAATCATATACTGAAAACATCAAACTTTAAAATTTTGGCAACAATTTTCAAAGATGTATATTTTTAACATTAGAAATTTCAAATTATCCGACGTTCATCAAGGCATATATAAATATGCCATGCAAAAGGAATAGAAATTTCTAGAGTTTTTGAAAAAAGGTATCCAGAAAAACGGAAAAAAATCCAATTTTTGTGTATCTAGGACTACGTTATGCAAACAAACATTAAAAGTTACATGCAAAACTTTTTTCAAAGATTACAAAATTCGATTTGCGGTTAAGAAAAAATTTGAAGCAACTTCAATTTTTGTTGCCGCCATCGAAAAAAGCTAGTCATACAATTTTAATATATGAAAATTGTATAATAACCATTTTTCTCCAAAAAAAGAAACCTAGTTTTTTTTTATCACCAGACTGTTTTATTTGGTTCTAATAGCCTCAGAAATTAGTTCAAATGTTTTTTCAAAGATTTTTGAAATAGTTTGAAAGTTATATGATTAGCATTTTTCCATACATTTGTTGTATGGAATTGTATGATAAGCGTTTTCGGTTTGTGGAGGTCGACCCGTGTACTCTGTTTCAGTCATTTGAACAATTCTTTCGTTTTAATTTCTCACCTGAGGACCCTAATTCTATTTGGCATATTGCTTAACTAAAATCATCAAATTGTGAATTACCTCGTAACATTTATACTTAAAGGCTAATAAACTGATTTAGATGTAGCTTTTTAAGCATTAGCAACTCCAAGTTGAACCGTATTGGGTCTAAAGCTCATGCTTGGTGACTTCACAGATGTCAAAATTCCTAAATGATGAAACTTATTTGCGGATATTGAAAAACTTGTATGCAGGGTCTGAAAATAATGAATTGCTAAACATATGTTGACTTGAAGTTTTTTGTAACATAAATCACATTTTTTTCTTAAAAACAGTAAATTTAAGCGTTTTATCTATTCAATTGTAATGAGAACAAGATTGGTCATATCAGTACGAGGATCTGAATATTCCGACTACCCTTTAAGGTCTGCAAAATAGTTTTCAGTTTTGAAAATTTGTTGGAATTTTCAAAATGATATCGGATAACAAGTGGAATCTAATTAACAATCTCTCCCCCAATATGGTATCTACTATAGTATCTACTGTATAGTATCTACTGAAGAATCTCCACCCAATAAATTAAAACAGTTAACTAGCACTAGTGCTTATATTGAGAATTAGAATTTCGATCCATTCATTTAATCTACTTGACAATCTCTCCCTATCTTGAAAAGTTGAGTTTCATCGTCAGCTCTTAAGTTTTCCCGCCAAACACTATGTTTAAACAAAGTACATTAATTATCGTTTGGTTAAAAGCGAAGAAAATGGAAAAAAGAGCGCAAAACAGGCAAAGCAAAGTGAAAAAAGGAAAGTATTAAAAGTACACCTTGAAGAAAAATTGTTGAGACGAAGAGTATACCATTCTCGCATCTGCTCCGCGACCTCTTGTATTTTTACTAACACTAAAGCATGAAAATAGCTTCTGATTTCGACAGCCTGATTTTTAGATTGAAAATTTCCGCACCCAAATATTTTAGATTGAACTCCTAATATTGGATTTAGCTTTTAGTTTTAGAGAACAGTGATGAAATTTCTATAAAAACGATAATCATTCAAAACGATTTTTTCTGAAGTCCATTTAAGCTTTTCTAGAAACAAAACAGTGTAAAACAGGTTAAGTAGGTAAAATCTGAGCACCATGTTAGTTTAAACGAATTATCAACCTCAGAATCAGCAGTTTAATTTCAAAAAAACGGTCAAAAACGGATAGTTTTTGAGGAAGGTCAGAAAGTTTAAAAATTAATCAAAATGTCAAAAAATGGACTTGTTTGAGGCCGTAAAGTTCTTCTCTACTAAATTTAGGGAAAAACCGCTGGAGAAGGGGACATCACCATTTTTTATTGTTTTGGGTGAAATTTTTTTCTCAGATTTGAGCAGATTTGATTAATATTTGAGAAATTGAAATAATTCAAATTAAATAGGCCAAAAACTCCCGTACTGAATTTTTGATGGTAGTAGAGCGTGAGTCAAAAATAAAAGTGATTAGCAAAATATGCAGAAACATAGAAGAGTAGACGATTTTTCCATTGGCATCTTTTTTGTGAAAATTGGGTAGCAGTTTTTGAGAAAAGTTGAAAATTCTGCGAAAAGTGCAAAAAGTTTTCGAAGTGTCGCGACAAAAAAAAACGAAAAACCACAAATCCCATACATTTTCATAAGCAATGTTTCTTTCAAACAGAATCTAACACTTGCCACAAATAAAGCAGCAACATAAAACATTTCAATGAATATGCTTAAATATGATTGAATTGAAATAGACAAAAGTGCCACCAAATAAGCATTTTTATTTGAAACTTAGGTTAGAAAAAAGTCTTTGTAATAATACACTACGCTTTGCTTGGGTTAACACCAAATGGCGCAGAGACATTTCACTCACAGACCTTTCAGCTACTTTCAAACTCAGACAATTCAGCCAAAGACATTTCGACCAAATTAGATTAAAGAGAGTAGATCATACAATTATTTAGAATTTTTCTAATTTGACTAAAGTCAGAACGTGGTCAACTCTAATATAAAAAAAGTGTGATAAAAAACAACCATTTTCAAACATCAAAGCAAATTTGATATATGAAGATTTGAAGACTTGCACATTAAAGTTGCAAAATTTAAGTTTTTCGGTATATGATGACCTCGATCATAGTTGCTTTTCGCAGGAGTTTTTCATGAGCCATGAATCCTTGCGTTTTGATTTTCTGATAGTATACCATGAGTCTTTCTATATCGATTTTGGCATTTTTTTGCTCATCCTTAAAAGGTGTGATGAGCTGGGGGAGGTATGGGTGTTATGTGGCAAAGCTACCATTCCATGCCTCCAATGCATTATTTATACGAGATTCTGCGAGCATAAAATGAAAAAAACTTGTTTATTCTTTGAAACTGGCCCACTTGGCAATTTTAAAACCCTCAACGTTAAAAAAAATTAATCAAAAGTGAAATTGTTTTTAATATGAGCTCAGGAATAAATAAAATTCCGTTGAAAATTGAGTAGTAAAAAATCTATTGTCGTCTTACAAAATGGCACCGAGCAGAATTAATCCAATGAATTTCTTGTCTGAGCAAGGATATCCGGTCTCAAAATTTATTACAAATTGAAATGAAGAAAACTTGCTGGTCCGAGCAAGGAAAAGTCAGTTCTATCGCTTTGCAAATGATATTTTCTGTGGGTAAAACAAATATTTTGATGCCGGCTCGGCTCGAAAAATTTTAGGCCAGCGTTTCAGGGTGCAAAACAACGATTCGCAACAAACGAAAGTTCGCAATGCGAACTTGTAATAAGCGACAACTCGCAAATAGGTTTAATATCTCTTATATTTTCAAATATCGAACAAAACAATCTAGACTAGCAGCAAACACTGATCCACGCGAGTTATTGCACTGAGTTTTTTTAATCTTGTTAGGAATATATTTTGTAATAGGAAGAGGGTTGAAGCTATTAACAAAATGCATACTCTATTTCAAAAAATGATAAGCTGCAAGGATGTAGTTTGATTTTGCGAAAACAAACCTGTTTCTTGTATAGTTCAGGCGAAACTCTAGGGTTCATTTTCGGTTGCTAAACAAAATGGTGCGTCTATTAAACATAGAGCAAACGAGAATATAAAGCATAGCAGGTCATACAAAAGCTAAAATGAGAGATCTAATTTACTTAAAAAGTGTCTAAGAATTGAACAGCTGTTATGTATGTGCAAGTTAGTTTAATGCAAAAAAGTAGCAATGCTAAAATAACGAAACACCAGCTCAGCAAACCGGCCAAACATCCGCAAATTTCTTTGGTTGCAGTGTTGTGAGTTAACACCAGAAAAATTTCAAAAACTCATTGGACGATAGCATCAAATTTTAACTTTTTTTTTTTGTAAAATTCAAACTTTCTGAAATTGGCTAATAAATTTAATATACTTTTTGTACACCCTCTTTGCTCAAAAACAATCAACGGACCAAGTTAAAAAGAGTCCATACCCCCTCCACATTGGTTTAACGGAGAGCATTATATATTAGCTTTAACTTCGGATTTTTCCGCCAAAAATCACAATCGAGGATTTTACACGCAGCGCTCAGCAATTTAATCCAATTTGAACCTTGAGGAGGATGGTGCTAACTTCATCTATTTTCTTGCGGGGGGGGGGGAGGGGTCGGGGATCAGAATCATTTTTTATGAATACATACAAGGGGTCAATTAAAATTTTTTGAATTATTTCAGAAATAATTTCAGTTCCTCCTTCCGTTTTAATAACTGAGGTCGGTTTGCTTTTTATGCGCGATTACAAAAAAGTGCAGTCTACTTGAAATCTACTTGTCTAATGTATTGTTTTGCGATAATCAGTTTGTGATCATGAGGGGGGGGGGGGGGAGGGGGTGCGACTCACATTGAGAAGGGTAAAAAGGGGAGACGTGGAGGGGGAGCCAAATGCAAAGTTGAAGCAACTTTTTGCCTCTTTTTCCTCTAGTTCGGCTACTTCGATTGCGTCGGCCTCCTATTTCGCGAAATATCACGTCAAAAAATGTTTAAAATAAATAAAAGACTGAATTCGAAATGACCAGCCCAATACACGAGCTGTCCTGCATTATCGACTTTTATTTCACATTCGCATATAGTTGGAACTAATTCAATGTAAATTAAAAATACACAAGCCAGGTCGAAGTTTTGGTTGTACCTTGTGGCCTGCATTTGTCCAGAAATCATTCAGTAAAAGAAGTTTCATGCAAGGCCTTTTGAGGAATTGTGTGGTGCACAGACTTACGGGATCTGTGGGAAGACTGCGGTATATTCCAATGGGGATCTCGAAGTGTTTCTCAATCATCTCCTGGTAGTACTCCGAGAATGTCTTAGAAGAACAGATGTCACCCCCTTTACACTCCTCCTCGCTCTCGCCCACCACACGCTGAAAACCAAACAAATACATCTAGAATCTTATCAAAAACTCATACTTTTTTAACATGCTTTGATAGGAGTGAGAAGGGGAGATCAGATGGCGTGTAGATATTGTAAAGCTGCATAGGTGGGTGGAGACTCATAGTAAGAAGAAGTGGCCGGGAATTGGACGCGCCTCGAAGAACTCGACATCTTCGCCAAACAAACTTTTCTCAACTTTTTTTTACTTGGCACCTTTTCACGACACCCATTGAAACTGCGTAAAGCAACTACTTCTGCAGAATTTTTTTTAGCGGAACTCAATATGAAATTCTTAACAAACGCGTTTTTCTGAGAGCGATTGCCAGTTTTCATGAAAAAATCCATTATATCCTTCCTAAAATATAACTTTAATCAAATGAACAGCAAAATTCAGTTGAGCTTACGAAAATGAGTGTTCCAGATCCGGCATTCTGTTTGAGTCCAATGAGCAAATAGACCACTGATATGATGTAAGGTTTCACATAGCTCTGATACAACAAAGTGTCCAACATACTAGTGCTAATTGCAGACCCCGACACGAAAGCAGGCCTGAACAGATCTTGGTCTTGAGGAGTGGCTTCCAGGGCCTTCTTCTGGGAGAAGGAGAGATTCTTGGGTGCATTCTGGCTGTAGTGGATACCGAGGAACCGCATATTTGCAGGGTATGTGAGCTCTGTTATTATTTCCAGATCCGGGAACATCCTACAAGAAAAAAGTAAACTAATGGACATCTCATGTTAACTTAAAATTCATTTTGCAATGTCCAGAAAAATTATCTTTATTTTGTACAACGCAGTGTATTTCCTTTCATGTTTTTCATAGAAAATGTTGGTTTTCAATCAATTTTTTTTGGCATGATTATTTTAATGAAAATTCGGTTGGTCTTTGAAGCCAAAATGCTGTAACGAATTGATTCTTCTATTAGATGACCTTGGGCTGATCTGACTGAACTAAAATGGAATTACAGACTGGAGGAGGGTCTATGAGACGAATGGTCTAATTACAAAATGAAAATCGCTTATGTAGTCTGGCTGATACATGTTACGCGCTTGTCGGTTCTGAGACCGGGACTGTATGAACAAGAATGTATACGGTTTAAAGGTATGAATGCATTTTAAAAAAATCGATTAAATATGAATTATTGGACTTCCTTTATTCTGCTAAAATTTTGTATGTTTAGTTGCCATATTACACATCTTGTTTTTCCTGTAAGCAACTTTCATTGCAAGTGTTGTTCTTTGTAGGTCCAGGGAGGTGGACTTGAAATATTTTTTTTTTCGGCTCAACAGGTGTCTGCTCAAAGATTGTCGGCTTAGTTGCCACATCACTGATTTTTCTTTTCTTGTGCTGTAGGTAACTGCCCTTGTAGTCGAAAGTGCAAGTGTTGCTCATTCTAATCTCAGGTTGGAACTTAAAACTGTAAAAAAAAGTTCTGAAATTATGTTTTTTTTTTCTGCTCAGTTTCTGCTCAAAGATTGCCGGCTTTGTTTCCTCTTCGTAAATTTTGTTCCGTTGCTAATTTATTACCCACTTTTCTTGCATCTTAGCCTAGAATGGATTTCTATCAAGACATTCGAAAATTTCTTTTTTGGTAGGCCTAGCTTTTCATGATTTTTATGATGTTTTTTATGATTGCGTTTAATCGCAAGTGGTTCGAAGATCCGCTTTGCCTGTGTCAAAAATTTTAGGCATAGTTGCACTGGATCAATTTGTAATTATAAACGTGCCAGGCGATTGCTGGCGCGGAGCGCCATTGTGCTTAAAGCCCGCCCACCGCCAGATCACTGTGATGAAACTTTCATGATCATAAATTTTATTCCACTAATTTTGTTTTAGCGCTTTGCTCTTTGATGCGTTCTGCACTGAGATGTGTTCTGCTCTTAGACCATTCTGCCTGATGCTCCGACAGACACTTGACAAACTGACTACTGACCTTGAGAGGAAGTAGACGTTGACGACACTGCCACTGTCGGCCATGTATGACTCCTCGGCCCATTTGCTGCTCTCCTTGTCCACAATGACCAGAGTCTCCGCCTGGGTCACTCCCGCCCGGATCAGATCATTCAACACATCCAGTCTACCTGGACACAATCAAAAAGAGTATCATATGACATGTGTCAATCAAACAAAGCGGCATGTGTCACAATCAAAAGTGCGGTGATTGGAGACCCAACGACTAAATTATTGTTTAACGGTGAGTAATCAATTCCTGATCCAGAAACAGACTGTTTTTTTTCCTATAAGGAGCTGAAATTCTTCTCTCCTGATGAGTTAATGGTCTTTTTCTTAAAAGTAATCTTCCTGCGCATGTAAGCCTTTGTTAAATCTTCAATAATGACAATTAATTCAATGTAAAAACCCCATTGGTAGAGCTTCAGAGAGCACCATCATTGAAAATATATATTTCGGCGATGAACGAGTCTAAGTTTAAAGATGTAGATGTCGTGTGTTGCTTGCAACGCTTTCAGTTACCTAGTGTTAACTCTTTTGCATTAATTATTTAATATTTACTTCAGCCTCCTTGACACACCTATGCAGAAGTACTTCTTTCGTAATACTCTTCTATATTCTATGTGCTCGTTGTTTGAGGCTGAATCAACATTACCCAGCCAAAAAAAAACAAAAAAAAAACCAATTGCATGTAGTTCTTAATCAGGGGCACAACAGCGATTCGCCATGATGAGCTGTACAGCTCGTATGTTGGTCCTTTCCGTATGTTGGATAAATGGTCCTAATTAAAATAATACGTCATTGTTGTTTAGCTACCTATGCAGTAGTAGACTTGGGGGTAGTAGGAGATGGCTGCTAGGAAATTCACATCGGGGTTGTTCTCACTCATGATGATGATGGGGGTGAGGGCTGTCCTGTCTCTGCAGTGGTGTCTCAGGGGAACTATGAAGTTACAAATGGCCACCTGGAAAAAAAACAGAAACATCATGATGATGATGGGGGTGAGGGCTGTCCTGTCTCTGCAGTGGTTTCTCAGGGGAACTATGAAGTTACAAATAGCAACCTGGAAAAAAAACAGAAACATCATGATGATGATGGGGGTGAGGGCTGTCCTGTCTCTGAAGTGGTGTCTCAGGGGAACTATGAAGGTACAAATGGCCACCTGGAAAAAAAAACACCATGATGATGATGGGATGAGGGCTGTCCTGTCTCTGCAGTGGTGTCTCAGGGGAACTATGATATTTCAAATGGCCACCTGGAAAAAAAGAAGAAAAATCATGAGGATGATGGGGGTGAGGGCTGTCCTGTCTCTGCAGTGGTGTCTCAGGGGAACTATGAAGTTACAGATGGCCACCTGGAAAAAAAGAAACACCATGATGATGATGGGGGTGAGGGCTTTCCTGTCTCTGCAGTGGTGTCTCAGGGGAACTATGAAGTTACAAATGGCCACCTGGAAAAAAAGAAACACCATGATGATGATGATGGGGGTGAGGGCTGTCCTCTCTCTGCAGTGGTGTCTCAGGGGAACTATGAAGTTACAAATGGCCACCTGGAAAAAAAACACCATGATGATGATGGGGGTGAGAGCTGTCCTGTCTCTGCAGTGGTGTCTCAGGGGAACTATGAAGTTACAAATGGCCACCTTGAAAAAAGAAACAACATCATGATGATGCGGGTGAGGGCTGTCCTGTCTCTGTAGTGGTGTCTCAGGGGAACTATGAGTTACAAATGGCCACCTGGAAACAAAAACAGAAACATCATGATGATGATGATGGGGGTGAGGGCTGTCCTGTCTCTCTCTGCAGTGGTGTCTCAGAGGAACTATGAAGTTACAAATGGCCAACTGAAAAAAAAACAGAAACATCATGATGATGATGGGGATGAGGGCTGTCCTGTCTCTGCAGTGGTGTCTCAGGGGAACTATGAAGGTACAAATGGCCACCTGGAAAAAAAAAGAAACACCATGATGATGATGGGGATGAGGGCTGTCCTGTCTCTGCAGTGGTGTCTCAGGGCTACTCGAGGACTGGTCCCGGCAAGAGGGGAGGAGCGCAGAAATCAAAACCCAGTCCGGGGGGGGGGGGAGCGAGGTCCGGGGTTGACGATGGCCTATGCCACACCCTCGGACCGATACCCCCTATCAAACCGAAGGGAAGTAGCCGATCCCGACGGACAATCAAGGCGATACTTAAATTTTCCAGGCGACACAGCAGGGTGTTGAGCTGGCTAAGACTGGTCAACGACATCGAACAAAATCCAGGCCTCGCAGGCGAGACCAGGAAAGAACAAAGACGGAAAGGAAGAGAAGAGAGACAAACAAGAAGAAACCAAAAGTGGGTGGACAGAGCTACGATGATGGGGAAGAGGAAAGCGACCATCATTTGGACGTGGAACATCCAAAGGGCGAGAGTCACTTTCCCAAGGAGAAACCGCTTCGCCGAAATTCTGAAAGAGGCGACAAAGAGAGAGGTGGAGGTCATCCTATTCACGGAGCTTCACGAAGAGACGGAAGGTCTCCAATGGGTCAAGTCGGTAGACTTGTACGGGGTCCTAGTGCACGGCAAGAAGAGCGGCATCTTTCTGAGAAGCAGCGCGTGCGAAAAATTCACCATCACTGATTCCCTATTTGCAGACGACTCGACATTGATTGGTTGGAGCGAAGAACTGAAAGAAGGAAAGGAGACTATAAAGAAGGAGATGATGAAGTTCGAGGAGAAGTGCCACGATGGAAAGGAGGAAACCATCTGGTTTGCAAGCGAGACGGCAGAGAAAACCAGGATGCTGGGTACCTTGATAGGAAAGAAGAAGGACCGCGAAGCCAGAATCAGACGTGCTAATGGTGCCTGGGCCAAGGTGAAGAAATGGCTATGGAAGTCGAAGCTGAGCAAGAGAACAAGAGCTCTCGTCGTACAAGCGGTCGTAGAGTCGCCCCATCTTTTCGACTGCAACGCTAGACCGTGGACTGTTGGAGACCTCAACAGATTCCAGAGCGTGGTAGACAGGTTCTACAGATACATCTGGAACAACGGAAAGGGACTGCCGCTCGTTCGTATGCAAGAAGAGGGCGTCAACGGCTACGAGGTCAGGAGACAGCTTGGAATTACATCGATCCGTTCCAAAGTGGAGAAAAGAGCTCTGGAGCGCATTGGACATGTTCTCCGTATGCCAAACGAAAGGATGACGAAGAAAGTTGTTTTGGGGAGATGGCTTGAGGAGAAAACCGAGAATGGAAAACTGACCGGTGAAATAATCGCATATTGGAAACGGCTGATTGGAAAAGCAAGAGAAGACTGGACCAACATCGAAAACCTGACAAAAAACAAGAAAACGTGGAAGACACTCATAAACAACCGGAAAGCTAATCTGACACGGTGGGAGACAGGCATGTGCGACCACACCAGAGGCCACACAAAGCCCACGAGAAGCCAAGCCAGAGTAGTGGAGGACGGCTTCAGTTGCAGGTGGACCGGTTGCGACAAAATTTGCAGAAGCAAGGCAGGGCTTGTGCAACACGAGCGCAGAATGCACAGAGAAACCACGCTCGAGTTTGCCTGCCCCAAGTGCAAGACAACCTTCAAGGAAAAGAGCAGTCAGACAAACCACACAAAAGCCTGCGGCGGAGCCCCCAGAGGAGTATGTTCGGACTGTGGAAAGAGTGTGTCTGTATCAAACATGGCTAGACACAGGAAAACCAACTGCCGAAACGCACCGATAAACAGAAATAACGAGACAATAATACGAACCAGAGAATACAAACAATGCGACAAATGCGGGGCATGGATCACGAAGTCAAACTTAGCGAGACACAAAAATGTGTCATGCACGGGAAATACCCGCCAAGGCTCTATATAGAGCGTAACTGGCAAAGAAGAAGAAGAAGTGGTGTCTCAGGGGAACTATGAAGTTTCAAATGGCCACCTGGAAAAAAAGAAACATCATGATGATGATGGGGGTGAGGGCTGTCCTGTCTCTGCAGTGGTGTCTCAGGGGAACTATGAAGTTACAAATGGCCACCTGCAAAAAAACACCATGATGATGATGGGGGTGAGGGCTTTCCTGTCTCTGCAGTGGTGTCTCAGGGGAACTATGAAGTTACAAATGGCCACCTGGAAAAAAAGAAACACCATGATGATGATGGGGGTGAGGGCTGTCCTCTCTCTGCAGTGGTGTCTCAGGGGAACTATGAAGTTACAAATGGCCACCTGGAAAAAAAGAAACACCATGATGATGATGGGGGTGAGAGCTGTCCTGTCTCTGCAGTAGTGTCTCAGGGGAACTATGAAATTACAAATGGCCACCTTGAAAAAAGAAACATCATCTTGATGATGGGGGTGAGGGCTGTCCTGTCTCTGTAGTGGGGTCTCAGGGGAACTATGAGTTACAAATGGCCACCTGGAAACAAAAACAGAAACATCATGATGATGATAATGGGGGTGAAGGCTGTCCTGTCTCTCTCCGCAGTGGTGTCTCAGAGGAACTATGAAGTTACAAATGGCCAACTGAAAAAAAAACAGATATATCAAGATGATGATGGGAGTGAGGGCTGTCCTGTCTCTGCAGTGGTGTCTCAGGGGAACTATGAAGACACCACTGGCCACCTGGAAAAATGGCCACCTGGAAAAAAACAGAAAAATCATGATGATGATGATGGGGTGACGGCTGTCCTGTCTCTGCAGTGGTGTCTCAGGGGAACATTGAAGTTAAAAATGGCCACCTGGAAAGAAAACAGAAACATCCTGATGATGATGGGGATGAAGGCTGTCCTGTCTCTGCAGTGGTGTCTCAGGGAAACTATGAATTTACAAATGGCCACCTGGAAAAAACCAGAAATATCATGATGATGATGGGTGTGAGGGCTGTCCTGTCTCTGCAGTGTTGTCTCAGGGGAATTATGAAGTTACAAACGGCCAACTGAAAAAAAAAACAGAAACATCATGATGATGATGGGGATGAGGGCTGTCCTGTCTCTGCAGTGGTGTCTCAGGGGAACTATGAAGTTACAAATGGCCACCTGGAAAAAAAACAGAAATATCATGATGATGGGGGTGAGGGCTCTCCTGTCTCTGCAGTGGTGTCTCAGAGGAACATTGAAGTTAAAAATGGCCACCTGGAAAGAAAACAGAAACATCATGATGATGATGGGGATGAGGGCTGTCCTGTCTCTGCAGTGGTGTCTCAGGGGAACTATGAAGTTACAAATGGCCACCAGGAAAAAAAAAGAAATATAATGATGATGGGGGTGAGGGCTGTCCTGTCTCTGCAGTGTTGTCTCAGGGGAACTATGAAGTTACAAATGGCCACCTGGAAAAAAAACAGAATCATCATGATGATGATGGGAGTCAGAACTGTCCTGTCTCTGCAGTGGTGTCTCAGGGGACATATGAAGTTACAAATGGCCACCTGGAAAAAACAGCAACATCATGATGATGATGGGGGTGAGGGTTGTCCTGTCTCTGCAGTGGTGCCTCAGGGGAACTATGAAGTTACAAATGGCCAACTGAAAAAAAAACTGAAAAATCATGATGATGATGGGGGTGAGGGCTGTCCTGTCTCTGCAGTGGTGTCTGAGGGGAACTATGAAGTTACAAATGGCCACCTGGAAAAAACCAGAAATATCATGATGATGATGGGTGTGAGGGCTGTCCTGTCTCTGCAGTGGTGTCTCAGGGGAACTATGAAGTTACAAACGGCCAACTGAAAAAAAAAAAACAGAAACATCATGATGATGATGGGGGTGAGGGCTCTCCTGTCTCTGCAGTGGTGTCTCAGAGGAACATTGAAGTTAAAAATGGCCACCTGGAAAGAAAACAGAAACATCATGATGATGATGGGGATGAGGGCTGTCCTGTCTCTGCAGTGGTGTCTCAGGGGAACTATGAAGTTACAAATGGCCACCAGGAAAAAAAAAGAAATATAATGATGATGGGGGCGAGGGCTGTCCTGTCTCTGCAGTGTTGTCTCAGGGGAACTATGAAGTTACAAATGGCCATTTGAAAAAAAAAAGAAACATCATGATGATGATGGGGGTGAGGGCTGTCCTGTCTCTGCAGTGGTGTCTCAGGGGAACTATGAAGACACCACTGGCCACCTGGAAAAATGGCCACCTGGAAAAAAACAGAAACATCATGATGATGATGGGGTGACGGCTGTCCTGTCTCTGCAGTGGTGTCTCAGGGGAACTATGAAGTTACAAATGGCCACCTGGAAAAAAAACAGAAACATCATGATGATGATGGGGGTGAAAGTTGTCCTGTCTCTGCAGTGGTGTCTCAGGGAAACTATGAAGTTACAAATGGCCACCTGAAAAAAAACCAGAAACATCATGATGATGATGGGGTGACGGCTGTCCTGTCTCTGCAGTGGTGTCTCAGGGGAACTATGAAGTTACAAATGGCCACCTGGAAAAAAAACAGAAACATCATGATGATGATGGGGGTGAAAGTTGTCCTGTCTCTGCAGTGGTGTCTCAGGGAAACTATGAAGTTACAAATGGCCACCTGAAAAAAAACCAGAAACATCATGATGATGATGGGGGTGAGGGTTGTCCTGTCTCTGCAGTGGTGCCTCAGGGGAACTATGAAGTTACAAATGGCCAACTGAAAAAAAAACTGAAAAATCATGATGATGATGGGGGTGAGGGCTGTCCTGTCTCTGCAGTGGTGTCTGAGGGGAACTATGAAGTTACAAATGGCCACCTGGAAAAAAAAACAGAAATATCATGATGATGGAGGTGAGGGCTATCCTGTCTCTGCAGTGGTGTCTCAGGGGAACTATGAAGTTACAAACGGCCAACTGAAAAAAAAAAACAGAAACATCATGATGATGATGGGGGTGAGGGCTGTCCTGTCTCTGCAGTGGTGTCTCAGGGGAACATTGAAGTTAAAAATGGCCACCTGGAAAGAAAACAGAAACATCATGATGATGATGGGGATGAGGGCTGTCCTGTCTCTGCAGTGGTGTCTCAGGGGAACTATGAAGTTACAAATGGCCACCTGGAAAAAAAAAGAAATATCATGATGATGGGGGTGAGGGCTGTCCTGTCTCTGCAGTGTTGTCTCAGGGGAACTATGAAGTTACAAATGGCCAACTGAAAAAAAAAAGAAACATCATGATGATGATGGGCGTGAGGGCTGTCCTGTCTCTGCAGTGGTGTCTCAGGGGAACTATGAAGACACCACTGGCCACCTGGAAAAATGGCCACCTGGAAAAAAACAGAAACATCATGATGATGATGGGGTGACGGCTGTCCTGTCTCTGCAGTGGTGTCTCAGGGGAACTATGAAGTTACAAATGGCCACCTGGAAAAAAAACAGAAACATCATGATGATGATGGGGGTGAAAGTTGTCCTGTCTCTGCAGTGGTGTCTCAGGGAAACTATGAAGTTACAAATGGCCACCTGAAAAAAAACCAGAAACATCATGATGATGATAGGTGTGAGGGCTGTCCTGTCTCTGCAGTGGTGTCTCAGGGGAACTATGAAGACACCACTGGCCACCTGGAAAAATGGCCACCTGGAAAAAAAACAGAAACATCATGATAATGATGGGGTGACGGCTGTCCTGTCTCTGCAGTGGTGTCTCAGGGGAACTATGAAGTTACAAATGGCCACCTGGAAAAAAAACAGAAACATCATGATGATGATGGGGGTGAAAGTTGTCCTGTCTCTGCAATGGTGTCTCAGGGAAACTATGAAGACACCACTGGCCACCTGGAAAAATGGCCACCTGGAAAAAAAACAGAAACATCATGATGATGATGGGGGTGAGGGCTGCCCTGTCTCTGCAGTGGTGTCTCAGGGGAACTTTGAAGTTACAAATGGCCACCTGGAAGAAAAACAGAAGCATCATCATGATGATGGGAGTGAGAACTGTCCTGTCTCTGCATTGGTGTCTCAGCGGACATATGAAGTTACAAATGACCACCTGGAAAAAACAGAAACATCATGATGATGATGGGGGTGAGGGTTTTCCTGTCTCTGCAGTGGTGTCTCAGGGGAACTATGAAGTTACAAATGGCCTGCTGGAAAAAAAACCGAAACATCACGATGATGGCGGGTATGAGGGCTGTCCTGTCTCTGCAGTGGTGTCTCAGGGGAACTCTGAAGATACAATTAGCCAACTGGAAAAAAACAGGAACATCATGATGATGATGGGGGTGAGGGCTGTCCTGTCTCTGCAGTGGTGTCTCAGGGGAACTATGAAGTTAAAATGGCCACCTGGAAAAGAAAATAAATACGTCATGATGATGATGGGGGTGAGGGCTGTCTTGTCTCTGCAGTGGTGTCTCAGGGGAACTATGAAGTTACAAATGGCCACCTGGAAAGAAAACAGAAACATCATGATGATGATAGGGATGAGGGCTGTCGTGTCTCTGCAGTGGTGTCTCAGGGGAACTATGAAGTTACAAATAGCCACCTGGAAAAAAAACAGAAAGATCTTGATGATGATGGGGGTGAGGGCTGTCCTGTCTCTGCAGTGGTGTCTCAGGGAAGCTATGAAGTTAAAAATGGCCACCTGGAAAAGAAAATAAATACGTCATGATGATGATGGGGGTGAGGGCTGTCTTGTCTCTGCAGTGGTGTCTCAGGGGAACTATGAAGTTACAAATGGCCACCTGGAAAGAAAACAGAAACATCATGATGATGATAGGGATGAGGGCTGTCCTGTCTCTGCAGTGGTGTCTCAGGGGAACTATGAAGTTACAAATAGCCACCTGGAAAAAAAACAGAAAGATCTTGATGATGATGGGGGTGAGGGCTGTCCTGTCTCTGCAGTGGTGTCTCAGGGGAGCTATGAAGTTACAAGTGGCCACCTAGAAAAAAAAAACAGAAACATCATGATGATGATGGGGGTGACGGCTGTCCTGTCTCTGCAATGGTGTCTCAGGGGAACTATGAAGACACCACTGGCCACCTGGAAAAATGGCCACCTGGAAAAAAAAACAGAAACATCATGATAATGATGCGGGTGAGGGCTGTCCTGTCTCTGCAGTGGTGTCTCAGGGGAACTTTGAAGTTACAAATGGCCACCTGGAAAGAAAACAGAAACATCATGATGATGATGGGGGTGAGGGCTGTCCTGTCTCTGCAGTGATGTCTCAGGGGAACTATGAAGTTACAAATGGCCACTTGGAAAAAAAACAGAAATATCATGATGATGGGGGTGAGGGCTGTCCTGTCTCTGCAGTGGTGTCTCAGGGGAACTATGAAGGTACAAATGGCCACCTGGAAAAAAAAGAAACACCATGATGATGATGGGGATGAGGGCTGTCCTGTCTCTGCAGTGGTGTCTCAGGGGAACTATGAAGTTACAAATGGCCACTTGGAAAAAAAAACAGAAATATCATGATGATGGGGGTGAGGGCTGTCCTGTCTCTGCAGTGGTGTCTCAGGGGAACTATGAAGGTACAAATGGCCACCTGGAAAAAAAAGAAACACCATGATGATGATGGGGATGAGGGCTGTCCTGTCTCTGCAGTGGTGTCTCAGGGGAACTATGAAGGTACAAATGGCCACCTGGAAAAAAAAAGAAACACCATGATGATGATGGGGATGAGGGCTGTCCTGTCTCTGCAGTGGTGTCTCGGGGGAACTATGAAGTTACAAATGGCCACCTGAGACAGACAGAAACAGAAAAATAAGTGATTTCACCCCTCTGTTAAAAATCATTTTGGACAAGGAACGATTCAAAAATACACATCTGTTCTGCCTAAAAAAATAGGCATTAAAGTTCAATTACAGAGCAAGCAGTTAGACGGTAAAAACCACTTCATGCTTGAAAGGAGTGAAAAAAAGAAAAAATAGAGAAACGACAATAATTTCACAAAAAAACCTACTTTAATCTAATTAATGGTGTATTAAGTTACCGACGGCACTTCGACACAGAGGAGGGTGAGTGGGTTTTTGAAGTTGTATTCTTGAGCGCAGGTGCGCTGGTCATGCTCACAGGGCTTGAACAGATTGAGACAGCAGATCTTCCTGTTCTGCGGCAGCAAGTAGCAGACAGGTGCCTAGAACAGATTTTAAACAGTTGATGAAACAGTTTCGATGATTGGAAAAATTAGAAACTGGGCCAACAGACAATTATAAAAGTGTCAGCGAACTCAAGAAGGCCAAAAAAACTGAGTTTCGAAAAAAAAAACATATACGACTGAAGAGTTTTATAATTATCCTTTTTTTCAGATAAAACTAATCCAGTTTGCGAAAACTGAATAAGTAAACTTTTAAATCCACTGAAAAATCTAAAAACAAACTTTAGAAAATGAAGGTCATTAACAGTTTTTTGCTGATTTTTTTTATCCGAGAGTGCAATTTGCCTTTCTTTTAGAATTTGATTTGAACTCAAAAATCGAATCAAAAGACAAATCTCGAAAAATCAAAAGTGGCCGTAAAAATTTTTTTAGATCTTGTCTGAGAAAAAAATCAACATTACCTATAAAATGGTCTTCACTACATTCACTACAGCCTGCATCCAACTTTAATTGAAACAGTGTACTTTTTCAGGCAGAATAAAGCACCTGATACAATTTATCATAACCTTTTGCTGACAAAAATGTAATTTTTACTGCTTGAAAGTCCTATGCGACAACTACTTAATTATTACCCTATTAACTGATAACAGTTTTATTGTACTGAATATAGAAAAAAAACAGAATGTTTATGCTTGGTGTGGTTTTTTTTTTTCAGTCAAGTTTCGGCTATCGAAATAATAGTTTTTCACTCAAAAGTTTTTTTTTTCATTAAAATATCGACTCCCTGATATCAAATTTAAAAAGATGTTTTACCTCAGTTAATTTTTTGCAAAGTTTTAGCAATTTAAAAAAATTGCCAATTTGGCAATGCTCTGGATTATGCGCACTTTTAAGATTTTGTGTATAACCCTGAAAGCGTCACACAATTTTTTTATGCGTGGCGAACTATCTCGCGCAACGAAATTGTTCCAGATTGAGTTGAGGCTAGCTAATCGGTCGTATTAATTTCGCACAACTCAAATTTTCACCCTTAATTTTTGATATTGTCCAAAATTTATAGTTTTTAAATACCTTCTTATCCCAAAAACCTATTTGATATGAGTTAAGGGGCAATCAGAAGATTCAGGGCTTTGCCCTGATATACGAGCAGTCTTAAGTTTACGATCCAAGATGAACTTAAGTGAAATTTTCAAGCAATCTGACTTAGGTCTGTAATTTTTCGAAGAAAGTGACGGAATATTTGTGCTCCAGTCAGTTTTTTTTTCGGAATTTATCGAAAGTTATTCAAAAGGAAGTGTTCGGAAGTTATTCGGAACTTAGTCAAAAGGTAATTTTATGTTGAGCTCAAGTGGAAAAAATATTTCACCTTTGCCTATTTTTCGTAACTTTATGGGCTTTATGGATTGCGATTTGACCAATTTGGTATAATTAACGCGCGAATTATTTCGTGCTAGTAACGCGCAAGCGGAGATAGAATCTGTCGTAGAAATCGCTCCAAATTGAATTGAGCCGTGCTATTTGGCCTTATTAATACTTTGCTTATGCGAATTATTGTTCCGACTTTCGATACGAAAGTAACGGAATATTTGTGCTCGGGGTGGGTTTTTTTTTCTTCAGACAAATTTCGACTTTTTAACTAGCCATTTTTGACGGAATTTTTTTCTATCATTCGAAAGGTATTGTTGTCCTGAGCTCAAATTTGAAAAAATATTTCACCTGTGGTTATTTTTCGTAAAGTTACGGGGGTTTAAAGATTGCCATTTTGGCCAATTTGGGACAATTAACGCGCGATATATTTCGCGCTATTAACGCGTAAGCGGAGAGTTAATCCGTCTTAGAAATCGTTCAAAATTGGTTGAACGAAGCTCATTTGCCATAACTGACTTGTTACAAGGAGCGAAATTGATCCTTTTGTACTTTATATGGCGGGTGGGGGGATGATTTTCATAAAAAAATTTCAAATTTTAGAAAAAAGAAATTTTTCATTTTGTTTTATTTCATTGAATTTTTTAATGTTATTACTGCTCCATAAACCTTAAAAGGCAGTCGGAACATTCAGGGCTTCGCCCTGATACGAGCAGTCTTGTATCACTTTGAACTTTACATAGCGTGTGAGGCGTTGACTTTCAACGAATATCTCAAAAAAAGTTATGAAAAGTAATTTAGTTTTTTTTTTTGAATTTTCAATCCGTTTTTTAAAGCGAACACAACTCAATACAGGGGCGGATTTAGGGTGGGCGGGGAGGGGTTGGGGCGGACGCCCCCCCCCCCCCCTCAGGGATTCGACCCCCTGCCGACCCAAAGGGTCCCCCCTTTGACACTGTTTCAGAAATCCATTTTTGGCCGACCGACCCTAAAATTTTTCTAAAGGCGCCTTGGGCGCCAATATATACTAACTTTGAGGGGGAGCGCGCGCCAAAAAAAACGCAATTTCAAAAAGTGCCCAAAAACGGCTTTTTTGACTGTTTTTTCAAAAATTTCCCTGCGGCGCACAAAATTTTGCCGAAATCGGGGCAAAACTGTGCTTTGGGAGAGCTCGAAAATTCAATTTGGTCGACCTAAAAAAAAAAAGGTCGTCAAAATTTTCGAATTTTTTTTGAAAATCCGCCCCCCCCCCCTCGAGAAAATCCTAGATCCGCCCCTGACTCAATAGATCTCAAAATGCAGTCGAAAATTCTAGGGCCTTGCTTTGATACGAACAGGCCTGCTTAACTATATAGCCTCAAATTTGCAATCATTCAATTTGTGTTACATGTTGGCAAAACGTTGGTTGGAATTAGCACCAGGAAAAACGCTTAATTAGTTTGTTGAATTGAACGCCGGTCGAAAACCAATGAATGATAATAAACCTTTTCTGATCACAAATAAGACTAACACATCTTTTTTGTGACTAAAACAGTAGAAACAGTTCAAGTAAAAAACAGGTACAACTGAAAATTGGCTTGGGGGGGGGGGGCGGGGGGGGGGGGGGAGAGGATGTTAACTTGGTCCAGTTAGAATGATATACTCGATATAGTGCAGTTTTTTATTATGTAACTGATTCAAAATAACTATTAGGATATCCCAGTTGAAAAATTTGAAACAATTTTACTCTGTTTTGATTAACTTACTACTATTTTTTGATGTTGGTCAGTACGAAACGAGATGAAACTTTAACGAACGTCAACCTCAGCTCAAAAAGTATTCAATTTTTTTGACTGCATATTTTATTTCTTCTTTTGCACAAACTACTTGTTTTCAACCATCTTTGTCGAAATCCTTTATCACCACACTTTGGATGAATAAAACAATGCGTGTACATTAGTAAAGGGGAATTATAGGGAGTGTGTGTTTGTGTGTGTGTGGGGGGGGGGGGGGGACTTGCCTGGAAGCAGGGATAGGGCGCGGTGGGGTACCCCTCAATGTAAGACTCCTCTATGCTGCCCGGAATCACTGACTCGCGACGCTTCTTCATCGAAGTCATCACCACATCTGAACACATCAAAAAGCTCAAACTTCTTAACCAACCCCGAATTTCAAATCGTTGATGAAAAAGATAGAAAATCGCTACAAAAAATAATCTCCGTCGACCAATTTAACGACTTTGAGTCTAGCATAAAGTTTCAGAAAATCAGAATCAGAAAATCTAATATTTTGTGCAAATTCTTCCCATGAATAGTCTAAAAAATAACAATTCTGAGCTTTTCTGTAAACTTAAAAGCTTTCAGATATATGCCTATAAAAGATAAAACGCAGTCAACGTGAAACTGTCAGAAAGAATGATATGAAAAAAAACTAAACTTCAATGAAAATATCCCAGGGCTAAATCAAATTTCATATTTTTTGTCTGGAAATTTTCCTTTGACTTACCTTCTTCTCTTGAGCAACATTTCAACTTTCTTATTTTGAACTAACACTTCTTTTAAATTATTTCATTAAAAAACTAAGTTGATAATTGACACTAGAGCTGAAAAGTTTAAATGCAAAATTCTAACCGCTAATTTAATCAGGGGCGGATCTAGGATTTTCTCGAGGGGGGGGGGATTATTTTTGGAAAATGTTACACAAAACACGCGTTTTTTCGGCGCGCGCTTCCCCCTTAAAATTAGTATATTTTGACGCCAAAGGCGCCCCTAGAAAAATTTTAGGGTACGTCACCAAAAATGGATATCACAACACAAAATAGTACAAAGGGGGGGGGGGGACCCTTTGGGTCGGCAGGGGGTCGAATCCCTGAGGGGGAGGGCGTCCGCCCCCTTCTCCTAAATCCGCACGTGAATATAAAATCTAATCAGATTATCTGGGTACAGTACAAAAAATACGGAATTGGAAATGTACACTGGTGAAAATAATTTTTACATATGCGTGAAATAAAACTTTAGGTTAGACTATTTAAGAACGAGTATGGGAAGATGACGTATAATGTAGGGCATAAACATCTATGGGATATACACAGAGTGTTCTTATTAAAATCCCCCCCCCCCCCACCACCCGGTGATTCGACTCCCTGGCCACCATTGGGCTCTATCCGGAACTATATTGCGATATCAATTTTTGCAAAACCAGCCCTGAAATTTTTCTCAGGGTGCATTTAATTAACCAAAAATGTACTACGAAGTCATTTTTGGCCTAGTTTTTTAAGATAATGCCAGCAGTTTCGATGAAATAGCGTCTTTAGAGTCTTTTGAAAAAGCTCGCAAAATCAATTTGGTTGACCTATTTTGACAATACGCTCTAGTAGGCAGTTCTTTGATTATAATGTAGAACATGTATACTATATCAATTCTTACTCAAATTTTTTTTTTGCATTCTTCGAGTCTATCACCGACGCTTTAGTTCCGAATCCCTCTCAAGTAAGTTTCAATTTAATTATCACAGTTGGTATTAAAAGGAGGTTGAATTGTGGTGGGGTTGTTTATCTAACTCTGCGGTTAGAAAAACCGGGGTTATAAAATTGGGAACCTCCCAAAACATACTTATTCAAGACCCATCGCACCTTTTAATGTAAGCGCAGCAACTGAGTATGATTATTCTTCTAATTTTTGAAGAAAGTAACTAATAGATATGCTTGTGGTGATTTTTTATGCACACTAATTTTCGCAATCGAAATAACAAACTTTAGTGATAATTTTTTATACAGCAATGGGTATTTTGTATCCTCGAATTCAACAGGAAAAACAAATCATTTACAAATTTTCTTCCTAAAAATTTAGTGTTTTGAAAATTGCCGATTCAGTTATATTCTAGACTAATTCATACAATTTTTTTACAGCATAGATCTAAGACGCTGGAAACGTAAGTTGAACTTAGGGAGCGGTGGTGAAGTGGTTACGTCTCCGCCTCTCAATCGAGAGGTCGGATGTTCGAGGCCCACCATGATCCGTGCTGGTTGCTTGAGAGTGAAGCAACATTACCCAGCCCAGAAAAATAACCAAAAAAAATTGCATGTAATTCTTAAACAGGGGCACAACAGCGGTTCGCCGTGATGAGCTGTACAGCTCTTGTGTTAGTCCTTTCCCCCGTGGATAAATGGTCTTAAGTATACGAGTCAATATTTTGCGATCAATTGAAGGGAGACAAGCTAATTTGTAGATTACTTCCCTATACCAACCTGAAATTCGTTCGTCTGAATGTTTGTTATTGGTAGTCCAAAATTATTTTTATATAAAAAATTTGGTTACCAAAAACGTATATCAGCAGTGGCTTTAATATGATATATCACTCGACCTACTCCGATGAATATTTGCGGTACCTGATTTTACGTGAAAAAAACAAAAAACTAAAACACACACAAATACAATGTTCTTTCCCATTTTCGATGGTCCGATAAAAAAATTTCCCAGGAGTCCTTAATAAGCTTCCAAAATAATTTCCCCCAACAAACTTTCAGGATTTTCCATGTGTTGCATGATTGGAACTGCTTGCAGCGCATCAAAAAAAATTGGCCGATTTAGAAACTTTTTGCAATTTATACGAAGAAACGCTGGAGCAGCTACAAAACTAGAGAACGTTTCAATCGAACAATGACATGCAAATCTGCAGTTTGATCAATGCAAAAAATTAATTTCCAAAACCTTTCACGATATTTTCCGCAAATGCATTCACAGTGGAGATTGTGGTCCGCCCTAAAAACATCAGAAAGTCAAGGGTGAGGATGATGAGTAGGTGACGAGACATAATATAACGTATTTAAAATAATGGAAAGCTTGAACGCGAATATCGGACCCTGATTTAACTCCAAACGATCACGTGATTAAATGAGGCCAATCTGTTGTACAGCGATATGATTATGAGGGTTAAAATCAAGGGCGGATCTAGGATCTTCTCGAGGGGGGGGGGGGGGGTGCGGAAGGTCGGATTTTTACCAAGCAAGCTTTCCCAAAGCACTAAAATTGATTTTTCAAGCTCTCGAAAATTGATTTTTTGAGCTCTTCCAAAGCACTAAAAAGACCCTGTTTGGTCAAATTTTCTGAGCCGCAGGCAAAATTTTGAAAAACATTTCAAAAAAGGCGTATTTAGGCACTTTTTGGAGAATTTTGACCAAAAAATTGCGTTTTTTGGCACGCGCTCCTCCCTTTTAATTAGTATATTTTGGCGCCTAAGGCGCATTTAGAAAATTTTTAGGGTCCGTCACCAAATATGGATATTTCAAAATAGTGCAAAGGGGGGACTTTTTGGGTCGGCAGGCGGTCGAATCCCTAAAAGAAATCCGTCCCCCCCCCCCTCCACCTAAACCCGTCCCTGGTTAAAATATTGCATTGCATATGTGAACCAACATAGAAACCCAAACCGATAAAGAAAATTGGAAGAGTTTGAATGCCTATACTTTTCACACTTTCTTAAAATTATTTTAGTTCAAAAAAAAGCATGCCAAATCCATTTTTGGCTCTTTTTCCTTTTCCCCCCACCTGCAATTTACATACAGACTAATAAGGCCACGACAAACATATTTGGTCTTCATACTCAACCTCGTAAAACCACTCGTTACACTAATATATTGAAGGTCGTGTGAGGTGAGGGGAAGGGGGAAGGAAAAAGAGCCCCATTTTTTGTTAAGTATTTAAACTGAAATAAGTTGTTGTGTTTAAGATGTTTAGCAGGTGTTTTAACAAGAGGATCTCAAAAAATTGCTAATATAGAAAAATATCAACATTCAAACTTTTCCAATTTTCATTATATCTTTTGATTGCCCGCGCAGCAAAAAATGCTCATATATCAAGTATGAAACACTGACCAGCGAAACAGTTTCCACCAACTGCCTGATTCATAGGGAATGCTAAACATTCGAAAGTAAAAAGGATTGAAGTAAACAACCTTTCGCTTTGAAGATGTCGAGACATTTTACAAAATGCTATCTGCAACCCCATAATAAAAAATAATACCATCATCTGATAAGAATTGCCAACTTCGAAGTCAAAACCTGAAGTGATGTAATTTTTTTCCTGAAAGTGTGAGAAAAAAACTAATTGAGCGACATTACTGATGGATTACATAACTATGATCCTAAGTGCTAATGGATGACATAAATATGAATTGTTTAGTGCAGATGGATTAGATAATTATGACACATCATCTCAACATTTGGGTGTATGACTTACCTTGTTGTAGTTTGTTGAACAACTCAGTGGTGCGTGGTGTGTTGTTGTTCGCCTCCAAATCCGACCTTGTTTTCTTTTTAGTCACCAAAGGCGCCTCTCCCTCGTTCCCTCTCACCTATCACGCAAAAAGATTCAATGACTACTAATAATTACCAACTTTTTATTTTTCCATAGGGCCTCCTCGTTTTGTTTTCCTTGCCTCTCGCCAAGCTCTGAATTCGAGACCTTTAAAATCGCTAAATGAGTTTTCTTAAACAACTTTTCCTGCAGTAAACATGGTTTTTCATTTCATAAAGAAAACATTTTCTTTCATAAGACATGCTCGCACTCTTTCCTTTATCGAAAAAAGACTAAAACTCTAAAACTTCAAACGTGTTTTTCTAAACATGGGGAAAAGTTTTTGAAAGTTTTTTTTAACTTTGTTCAAATCACGACTGAAAGGGCTTTAATATGACATATTACTCAATTCATTCCGATGATTGTTTGTGGTACCTGGTTTTGCCTGGTAAACAAAAAAAAACAGAAAAAAAATGGTCGGAACAATAAGATCAACAACAATTTTAACAATACTATCACCAAACAAGCTCTGAACTCACCACGGATATTTCAGTCTCGTCTTCGCTCGTGGTGTAGAAGAAGTAGACGGTGTCGGAGGCCTTCATGATGTGGTTGGGGCCAGGATTCAACATCAGCTGCCCGTTCTCTGGCTTCACACCAATAGTCATGCAGCCGTACCTGAAATGGACACGAAAACTTATGATCATACAAAACTTGATAAGCACTATAATTCAAATTGTGATGGCATTGATATCAAAAACAAAATAAATAATATTATCAGTGCGTGTCCTAGTTAGACGTCGTTACTTGAGGTGAGGACGCGGTGATTTTTCCCTGTGAGAATTTATCAAGAAAAAATATTAACCAAGGCCCTGGTCCTAAGGCCATGATCCTAAGGCCATGATCATACGGCATGATCATACGGCCATGATCATACGGCCTTGATCCATAGTCCATGATCCTAAGGCCATGATCTTCTACGCTCTTGGTAGATAGTCTACGATTTTGTAGAAATTTAAATTTTAGAACAAAAAGATCACGTGATCACTATGAGCATATCCAAGGATTAATTATTTCTCTTCGGCAACAGCTAAAATTGCAAAACAAAACTATTATGAAAAATAGTGAGGTTGGACTAACTTTCTGTGAGCGAGAAATGCAGCCTCCATGAAGTTGTAGCCGATGTACTCCTGGAAGAACTTGCTCTTCCCAACTGGCTTGTCATAGATCTCCTGGGCTGTGCTCCTCGCATACTGCATCTCCCACTGGTCGTTGCTCTCCGAAGGATTCCTATCACACCAAAGGTCACAAGGTCAAAGGTTAAGGTCAGCAATTTATATGTCGGAATGGTCATCTTAGAAATAATTGATCAAAATTCCCAACAAAAAAAGCACATTCATTTTGGTCAGTTGCTGTTATCCCAAGAATCAATCACCATGATTAATGATTAAATATAATCCTGAATTATTACGAATATTCAATGCAAAAATTTGATTTTTCATGTGAGAACATCATTCAGTTCAAACAGGCCTTGCGTGCTTCTACTAAACTGCAATCATGCTATAGAAAACTCCTCCAGATTAATGTCTATCCAGAAATCGTTTTGTGCTGTCTGTGAACCACGTGCAAGTCAGCCAAAGAAAAAATCAGGCTAACAGATTACCAAATCCAAAAAAAACTCAATATTTTGTTAATTTTGGATAACTAAGATTATAGGGTGAAGCTTTGCTTTGTGTTAGATCTCCATAATGAAATTGACCATCAATTGCCCCGTTTTTCGACATTCTCACGAATTTTTTCATATTTCATTCTCACAAACAGAGCTCGATTTTTTTTCAAAAATTCTTGCGAAAAAAACAAGTTTTTTAGAAGGAAAAATTCATTTTGTTATGATAGGCATGGTGGTTATGTAATGAAAGAAACTGAAAAGCTTTAAAAAATTGAGTTAACTAAGGTGAACTTTTATGGTGTTACTATTTTTTTTATTATTGGTTAGTACTAGTCAGATAGAATATCTAATCATTCAATTAGTGTCACTTACTCTTCCAAGGAGCAGTTAACTGTTCCAGTTTTGCTGTCAAAACAAATTTTTCTGATAATTGATAACTAAGGAAATCAAAATACACATAAAATGAATGAAGTGACAAAAAGTATTCTTCAGTACACTGGGTAAATATTGTGAACTTGGGTTTTAAAAAATGGATAAATAATGTGAATGTTTAAAGGGGTGTGCGGCAAATAAGACGACAGCTGTTCAGTCGGCAGCCGCCCTTGATTGGACTTAGAGGCGACGCTACACTGAATTCTTCAATTGTATTTCTAAGAAACATGAACCGCTTAGATTGAAACATTTTACTTTTAATGTTTTAGCGCTCAGCTGTCGTCTTAATGCCATGTCGTTTAATGCTCTGTCTTCTCATTTACCTAGCACCGTTAGAAGGGAAGCCCAACTTGGAATAAATTTATGATTTTGAAAGAACATACCGCACTGAGTTTCTGCGATAAAAATCAATTTTGAAGATTTTGTTGTATCGGGGGTGCAGTTGACAAGCATACAAATTTAATAGGGAACGGAACGTCAACGTCCAACTTGCATTGTATGAGTGCCGCTTAGCATACGGTTCTTAGTCCAATTAGAATTGAGCTTTTTTTTCTCAAATTTGCAACTAAAACTCAAACTGAGGTGTGCCGCATCAAAATCAGTAATTCTCTTAGTTGCGCAAGCAAAGCGGCACTCATGCAATTCGTTACGCCCCCAACTTAAGCGGCATAGAAGTCTAGCATCATAAAACTGTTTATTTATTCTTCTTCTAAAGTATCATAACTCAAATAGCCTAAACAGCAAAATAATGTTCGTCTCAGTCCCGCCAAAGTGTTGCTACCTGTCCAACAGAGGATATGACTCTTGACTCTACACGAAACATCGAGTCGGTTATTGCCGCAAAGAGGCGAAAGTACAGCGACAATTGAAAAAGTAGTCATTGACCGTTTACTTTTTCACGCTCAAACTCTCAGCTTTTTTCGTTCCGCATTTCTAAGAAAGTGTGGATTATTTATGCTTGGGGGGTTTTTATTTGGTCAAAACTCGGCGATCGAAAAAGTTTTTAGCATAAAAAAAATTTTGAGCAAATCATTTTTTCTGAAGTTCCGGGGTTTGAATTTAACCAATTTGGCCATACTCGTGACTAATGCACAATGAGAAGGTTTTAATAAAAATTCTAAAAACGTAACGCAAACAATTTCTGCGTGACGAATTATCCCGCACAACAGAATTGTTTCATATTTAATTAGGGCAAGCTAATTGATCCCATTGATTTCGTTTTGTTCAAAATTTCAATTCTGATGTTTGATATTGTCCAAAATGTGTGCGTTTACATATTTTTAAACTAATTAATCGTTTGAAGTTAACAGTCTTGTTTTTTTTTCACTGTCCTTTAAACAATAGACTTATTTTTATGCTATTGAGTGGGTACAAAAAGAAAATTGTGTTTAATAAAATATAAACGTAACCGGTGTATCGATTATATCAGTATATGTATTTAACCAAATGACATTTGAAATTTTTTGATTATTTTTATCTAATTTTTTTATTTAAATTTTATTAAAATTTTGCGATTATTTTGGTTTACTTTTGTTCTGATTTTCGAAGATTGCTCGGGGTGTTTTTTATTCAGAGCATTTCGCAAAATTCGTTGCTCACTTACGGGATAGATCCCTTGATCTGTATAGTCCCAGCCGGTTCTGCATACCAGTATAGTATCTTTCCACAATTTACACTGCACCTTTTATACTTTACACGTGGCTATGCATGTAATCCCACACTGCAAAACCTTTCAAATTGAATTGGAGCAAGCTAATTGGTCTCATTGATTTCATACACGACTAAACTTTTAACACTCAAAAATTGCAATTATGAGCCTAAATTATATGTTTTTGCCAATATTGGATATACCAAAAATTATTCGAGACCAGTTGAAGGGCAGCCGGAATAGTACTACTATGATAGGGTGGTCTTTCGAAAAAATAACTCTGATAAACAGGTCCCGCATGCTTTTCGCAAGTTCATAATTTACTAGTTTGTGTCTAAAATATTCGTTTTCAAATTTTCGCGAAACAGTTTGACTCAGATTAAAATTTTTCAGACTAGAAATTGTAATTATTATAATATCAAGAAATAAGCTCACTTTAACTTATTTTACGATTTATTAACCATAACTTAGTTTAATTTTTTGTCATCAAAACTCAATTTAGGCAATTTTTGTTTTAAATTAACACCGTAAAACGGGGAGGGGGAAATTTCACGAAGTATCGAAACAGAAAAATTGTTTGAAAACACGCTTCGACGATTTTTCTGAATAGGGAAATTGTAACTTTATACAATTTGAGAGCTCTAAGTGTCTTTTTCTGGAGACCCGGTTATTCTCATGGGACCACTCTATCATAATAGTACTGCCGGAACATTCTGGGCTTTGTCCTGATACAAGCAGTCTTGTTCAAATACGTATTTTCTGAAATTTTTTTTGAAATTGATTATGTACACAAGCTTCTGCAAAAAGCAATTTGTTCAATTAAAATTCAAGTTGTTTTTCTTACTTTTTGTTTTGATGACTTTTTATAGAAGAAATTAATTTTGTTTTTTACAACATCATTTCAGATCTTCCAAAAAAATTTGTAGAAGATAGTATGATACATTTTTAAAAAATTCTCTCAACCATATTTTTCTCCAAAACTAAATTGCAAAATCAATTTCAGAGTCGATTATACATGGTGCTTTGTTTCTAGGCAAATTTACGCTCGGATAGTGAATCAAGAAATATTTGATTGTAATGAGTTTCAACCAAACTACGTAATATGTAACGCTTAAATGCCAAAGTGAAAAACACCCAAAAAAAAATTTTCCCCTGCATTCCTCCTCACATAAAATAAAAAAACATTATCAATTGTTTTTTTTTCAATTAAGCGAATGTTTTTTCTGCTAACTAGCTTACTTGTTTGATCCCTCGACAAAACTAGTTCCTAAGTTTGTTTCCATTATATATTGTCAAATAAGCTGCGCAGCGTCGCAATTAGCACTAACACTTGTCAAGGCCTCGCCTATTTTTGGAAGTATTATCATGCCTAAAAGATTGCTTCCGTTGTTCGACGTAAATTTGCGCCTCAAATGGGATTGAGGGATTTTTTGGAGCATCTGGACTTACCTATATTTTAATTAGAAATCTCAAAAAGTTCTAGGGAAAAAAAGTAAATATAGTACCATAAATTTTGTGACCAAAGCATTTTGTGCTGCTGCCATGCCAACTGGCTTCTCTTCCCAAAAAATGATCTAGTTCATCAATCTTCGCTTTAAATTAGACTAAATACCATAAACTTCAACCCTTTTATTAGACCTCAAAAAAAATTCTCTTTAAGTTTCATTGTAGCACAAATTATGACTGAAAAGGCATTTTTCTGTTATTTTAATCGACCGTAATTTGATGTTTTTTGCAGTATCTGGACTGTTAGGGAAAAAGTTTACACATGTTTGAAAATCGGATTCTTGAAAAAATTATGAAATATGGTTATAGCAATTTTTAAACTACCTTCGCTACCTTTCAAAACTTAATGAAATATATGTGGATAAATTTTCTGATGACTGCTGCGTCTCACTTGGCTGTTTTCCGGGGCCTATTTCTATTTCAGGTTCTCAGTTATCATACTTGTACTATTGTAGCAACAGATGACATATAAAATATTTAAAAATGCATGTCATAAACACTTATACGTTTTAAAAGACCAATCATGAGCATATTAAATAGTAAAATATTTACCAAGGGGGATCATACTGTATGTTTGACATGTATTCTGGAAATAGAGATACAAGTTGCAAACCCTAAACCCGGGTCAAAATTTTTTAAATAAAATTTTCCACGAAAAAGCGCTGAATGAATCCAATTTTAGTACGATTGGTCCCCTAATTATCACGAAAAAAATGAACCCGTTAGCGCCGAATTGATAGACCAAAATTTTGAAAATTGGGCTCATTCATACCCTTTTATGGCCAATCAAAGACCAAAAATTGGGTTCATTTGGCTCCTTCTGCTTAAAATTGGGCTCATTCATACCCTTTTATGGCCAATCAAAGACCAAAAATTGGGTTCATTTGGCTCCTTCTGCTTAAAATTGGGCTCATTCATACCCTTTTATGGCCAATCAAAGACCAAAAATTGGGTTCATTTGGCTCCTTCTGCTTAAAATTGGGCTCATTCATACCCTTTTATGGCCAATCAAAGACCAAAAATTGGGTTCATTTGTCTCCTTCTGCTTAAAATTGGGCTCATTCAGATCGTTTTTCTAAACATTAGACTCCTTCAGCCCTCTCCATGAAAATATGACCAAAATATGGACCACTTCCGACCGTGCAAGTGGTTTGACCCCATGACCTACAACATCGGATTTGGCCGACCAAACTTAAAATTTTACCAATGCCTTCTTATGGGCCAACTCTCATCAAATTTGAAGGGAGGGAGAGCACGCGCCAAAAATGGTCCAAAATGCCAATTATGGAAGTTTTTTTAAAAGTTAGCATGCGGCACTTTTTGGGTGTTTACCTGCCCTGCAGAGTGTGAACAAGTAGACTGATGTAAGTGGACATGGCGGGACAGAGACAGTTGCTGGCCAGAATTGCATATTTGAGCTCATCTTCGCAGATGACGTAATTGGCCGCCATCACCAGCTGTTTGTGTTCTGGTTGCAACACTTGCACGTACAGGGGCACGTGGGAGGCGAAGTCCTTTATGGCCCACGTGCGGAGAATTGTGGCCTCGTCCTACAATCAGTAGCCCGTGTTTTGAGAGGAGGAGGAAATTAGCGGAAAATAAAGTTTAAGCAACAAGACAAACAACTCAACAAAAAAGTTCAGCAGTTTTTTTCAAGTCAAGCCCGTCAAAAAAGGTACTGCATACGCTTTGTCTGTTACATAATGAATTACTGTCTATAGCTATGAATTCGAAAAAATTTAGATGAAATTCGACATATTCAAACCAATCGAATCAGAGTTTGATGGTTTGCAAAAATCACCAAGTTCTACGATTCTGCAATTTTAATTGATTACCACATTCATTAGAGCTTACTAGATGCACTAATTCTGCAAAGCTTGAAGCTCATTTTTTGGCGTGACTGATCCATTTACGAGGAAAATTTCGCGCGTTCTGTGATCAATTTTACAAATCAATCTTTTAACAAAGGTTTTAACAAATCTTTTGCTAGCAGAGATGTTTTTAGTTAGTTCTTTATTTTGTCAATTAATTTTGTTAATTCAAATTTTCGAGCTACAAACTCGAATGGAAGCGCCACCAAATTTACAAGTCAATGTTTGAACAGTTTTTAAATGTTGCTAGCCATAGACTTTTTTATTTAATACATTTTTTTTGTCAATTTGGACGATCAACCAACCTCAAAAACTTTTTGCTGGCTTAAGCAGGATAGAACGCCTTTTTTTTTCAAAGTTTGAAGAGCTGACAAATTAACGTTAACCGACCTCTCTTCGCCTATCCTTCACATTGCGAGATGAGAATATGAAACAGCTTTCGGCGTAGTGCACCTTCGCCCGAATGAGATCGGATACTCTGAGAGCACTGCCCTGGATGTAGATCACCCTCTGGCTCCAGCTGGGGTTCTCCAGCATCGCGTTGATCTTACCATCGAACTCCAGGGGACACAGCAGTATGACGTAATAGTTCTATAACAGTTACAGCTACAGTTACTTAACAGCTCGGACTGCAGATACACGGAATATAAACACACAAATTACGATTTATTATTGGTCGACCATTCAAAAAAATAATTGTCTAAAGGCCTCTTTGCCGTCAATATACACTATCTAATTTTGAGAAGTGCGCGCCGAAAAAAAAACGAGAGGGAAGCGAGCGTAAAAAAATTTGAGAAAAAAGCGAGCGCCAAAAATTTTAAGGAAGCGCGCGCCGAAAACTTTGGGTCATTTTAGTGTGTTTTAGGAGAGCTCGAAACTCATTTAGCTGGTTTAAAAAGAAACAAAAAGACGAAATTTTCAAATTCAGCATTTTCGAATTAATTAATTTCTAAGCAACTGTCATGAATTTTGATATATATTCTCCCATCCTATTGCAAAAGGGGAGAGGGGAGAGCTTTGGTAAAAGACACAAACTTCGTTTATTTTTAACCGCGGAACTAGATATTTGTGGGGGTGGAAACTGTTCACTTGGAACCATAGGGCTAAATAGTTTAGCTAACAAAATCCACTGTCCTAACTGAAATAAAGAACAGTTTATGAAAACAACAGCTGAGAGATGACCTTGAGTTTTGGGTATGCGTAGAACTCGTTCATGAAGTCGTGCAGGATGTCCTCTGTGACAAAGGAGGTGCACAACACCACGTGCTGCTCCTTCTCCGCCCTCCTGTGGCTGTAGTTGCCCCCCAACTTCTGCTTCTCATCCCACGCGAACGACAGCGACTCCAGCTAAGCAAACAAAAGCAGGGCTTTTTAAATCGTTATCCACACACTCCAAGTTTTAGGCAAAGAAATAACATTTTTTTATGTATAAGGTTATGAGTAAAAGCATGTTGGTACGTAAGCAATTCAAGTGTATTTTTATCTGCACATTTCACTCAAATTCGGTCTTTTGATAGAAGAATGGAGTTAATTTTACCTGCACGGGAATGAAGATGAGCGCGAGTCCAATGGTGAATATGACGAACAGTTTCGAGATCCATCCAATGGGGTACAAGTCCCCGTAGCCGACTGTGGAGAATGTGACGATGACGAACCAGAAGGAGTTGAAGAAGTCGTACTGTTCATCGCCACTCCTGTCCTGAATTCGCTCCAGATAGTGGATGCCACACATGCTAAAAATGTGTGTAAAACCTGTGGTCCAGAGTTCGATCCCCGCAGTCTCCAAAAAATGAAAGCTTAAATTGTATTTTTTTTGAAACTATTTGTAAATGTTTAAATTGTCTCACCATGTGAATGCGAGACAACAAATGAATGTGATCAACTTCATCAGCAGTCGCTGCATGGACGAAAACGCAATGGGTTCCATGTACTAAAACAGGAAAGCACAGGTGGGCAACTTTTAAACATTTCAAACAAGCATATTCACACATTGGAAAAAGCCTATTGATACTTAAGCTTTGGACAAATAAAAAAAATTCGATGAGTGTTTGGTTGATTTGTCAAAAATCCGCTCCTTCTTTTGCTAAAAGTCTAAATGAAATCCTGATTTGAATGATTTTAGATACTAACATTGAACTCTTGCCCATCTTGGGAAAAAATTCAGTCACTTCTGCGAAGAAAAAATGTTTAATGATGACTTTTCTGATTTCCTCAAGAATGAAGGAAAAAGTGTATCCAAATAAGGAGTTCGGATACATGCAGCTCTGACGGTATGGCCAGTAGGTAGACAACCGAGTAAGCAGACAGGTCAGTAAGCAGACATACCAGTATGCTCATGAGGAAGTGTTTGGCCAGCCAGCAGTTGAGGAAGGAGGGCACATAGAGAAAACGGAACAGAGGATGGCACAGCTGGAAAAATATGACTCAATTAAGTCCAAGTTTAATTCATCAAAACTGATTGAAAAACATAAGATTTCCAAAATAGTGGATCCACGTGTTGAATGTTACAATAAAAAAAAACAATTTTAGAAAAAATATACGCTTAAAATAAAAAGTGAAAAACATCAATTGCTTAAATATAAAGCTTTTTAATTTCACTTTCGAAGTCTTGGAGCTAAAAAAACTCAAAACTATGAGGTTTTTTAAAATATCAAAAAATATATAACGCATGAGGTTTTTTTTACTTACCGAGGCAAGGAAAGGCAGTGATACGCATGTCTCAACAAATACTCTGTAGGACAAGATTTGCTCCACAATGTTTCCCTGCAACAATCAATACCTTGAACAATATCGCATAAATCAGGGCGAAGCCCCCGAGTGCCTCGCTAGCCCCTTAACTATAGGATGTTCTTTTTGGAGCAAAATTTCTTTTATTTTCATCTTTTTTATTTTTTCACCGAATTTCAATTTCGAGTACAAACTGATATATTTTGGGCCTAATGAAGCAAAAATATGATCAAATAGTTGGCCTCAATCCCACTTGGGATGAGTTCGCAACCAGAAGGTTTCAACGAATTTATTTCAAAATCTCATAAAACTGCTCAAATCATGACAAACCCTGAGCGGTCCGAGTGCCCAAATAACGCCTCGGAAGTAATTGATTATTTTAAAATAAATTTAACGCAAAACTAAACAGAACTTTTTTCAGATTTTTTTGAAAATTATCCATCTAAACACGAAATATAAAAAACAAAATGATAGACTTTGCTGATTTTAACGTAACAATTGGCGCAAATAGCCTACTATTCAATTTGGAACAAATTTTGAGCCAGGTTGTTTTGCTGCTTGGAACGAAACATATCGCGCGTTATTTGTCTCAAATTGGTCAAATTGGCTAATTCAAACCCCAATAGCTTCACAAAAAAAATTTAAGTTGTTTTAAGAAACAAAAATAGCCGGTTACTCTGCAGTAAAAAATTTCACAAAAATGGCTAGTTGAAAAACCGGATGTGTCTGGAGAACAAAACCACCACGAACACAAATAGTCAGTGAACTCCTTTGAAAGTCTCGAAACAAAAAGAACAGGTTGCTGCACTTTCGACAATTGAAAGTCAAAAAATTTCAATAAAATTAAAATATTCGAACTGTTTTCGAAATGTTTTTTGTTTTCAATTTTTTTTTGAAGTTTTCTTGATAAAGGGCGGTTGATGAATAAAACCACTGAAAAACAAGAAAATTCAGTTACTGTGCAAGTAGCACAGAATGTTCCGACCAGTCTTAAAAAATTACAAAATTATTTTTTTTTCAAATGAGTGTAATTTTTTTGACGTATTGTGACAAAAGAGTCTGAGAAAAAAACGCTCAGGCATTTTCGTCAGTCAGTGTAAAATAAGCAAATTAGAAAATAATTTTTGCAGAAAAATAACAAGAAAAACAAAAATCAAAAAAACATTAATTTTTTTTTGATTTTTCAAAATTTTTTTCTCATTTTTTTGAAGTTTTTGATTCTCAGATGAGGCTAAAAAATTCAAAAAATAATTTCAATTGAATAAAATTAAATTCTCAAGGGTCAAAATAAGCATAAATAAGCTAACGTAAGCCTGCTCACTCGCTCGAAGCAATTTCGAAAAGTCAAAAATTTCAAAACGGTTTTTCTCGACAAGGAAAACTTTTTTGAAATTTTTATATATCGTTCGAACCACGACTGAAAGTGCTGAAATATGATAAATCACTCAATAGAGTCTAATGATAATTTGTGATAGCTGATATTGCGTGGAAAACAAAAAAAAACTAAAACATACCCGAATACCAAGTTCCTCCCCATTTTCAATGGTCGGAACAATAAACCATGACAGCAAAATTTTGTAAATGAAAATTAATATCAAATTATGACTGCATTGGCTTCCTCATCTTTTGGAAGGTTTTCTTTTCCTTTTAAGTTGCTGTTCTGTTCAGCAATGTTATTCAAAATTTTTAATTCTTCAAAAAATTTTCAGTTTTTTTTCGAAAATGAGAAAAACTTTTGATATCTGTTTTGAGAATCTACCTTAACACTGCCAAGGCTTCAGAATTACACTTCACTTAATTTTTTTCAGTACTTTTTCAGTCAAATTTGTGCAATAAACCCAGTATTTTTTGAACCCAGAAAAATCTTATTGATTTCATACTGCCTCAAATTATACCTACTCTCGTATTTTTTGTATCCAGACTGTTTTTTGTCAATTAAACAAAATCAGTACCCTGCCAAAATAATTCCGTACTATGGCGCTTATACGGAAAAAAGCTAGAAAACTTAAGACGATTGTATCAATAGTGTTTTAAAGCGCGTCCCGACAATTCGGCAAAAAAAAGTTCAGCCGATTTGAAATTCAGACAATCCAGCCAAAAGTATACAGACAGTTCAGCCAGAGACAATTCAGCCAATAATAATAACCAACGCAGTCACGCCTACAGGTTGCAAGCTTGCAAACAGAGTGTATGACTCTATACGGAATTAAGAGCCGGTAATCTTAAACCGAGAAGTAACTCCAAATCCGATTTTTTCTTTTGAATCAACCGTTTTGTAAAACGGGCTAAATTGTCTCAGGCTGAATTGTCTGTAAACTTTTGGCTGAATTGTCTGATTTTCCAATCGACTGAATTGTCTGTGCGCCGTTTTAAAAGACTCCATAAATTGAATTTTGCAATTAGTTTTTTGAAGTCAACCTGTCAATCAGTTAGAATGAAATTTTTGTACCTTTGGTCTGCCATTTTGTTTTTTGAAAATTTTACTAATTCAGTATGAAAAAAAGAGATGATTTTGGTTTTCGGCTAGTGCACAAAACTTTTTTTCGTTGTTTCTGTCATTCGGCACTTCTGTAAATTTTAATTTTCAGCTTGAGAAAACCAATTTAATCACAAACACTTCACATACTTAGCAACATACATTTGTTGTCAATAATTTCATATATATATATATATATATATATATATATATATGTGTGTGTGTGTGTGTGTGTGTGTGTGTGTGTGTGTGTGTGTGTCTGTGTGTGTGTGTGTGTGTGTGTGTATGTATGTATGTGTGTGTGTGTGTGTGTGTGTGTGTGTGTGTGTGTGTGTGTGTGTGTGTGTGTGTGGGTGTTAACGGTTATTTCTTATAAAATCTGTTTTATCTATAAAATTTCAAATTTAAAAAAAGACATAAATTTTTAATATCCTGGTGTTTTCAATGGCTTAAAGTTTAGAGAAGGGGTGGAGGTGATTTGTTACAAGGTACAAAATTCGTATGTGCTTAACTGTTCAATTCTTTCTTTCTTAATAGGGGGACCGGAAGGAGTTTGAAGGAAGTACCATAGGTGGGGGGGATAGTTAAGAGTTAACAAGATCTCTATTAGTTATAAGGTTTGATTGATGAGTGACTAACTCTGAACTGGCATATGATGAGCACGATTGTGTCGATGGTGGAGAAGAGAGCGACTGCCACTTCTATGATGTAGAACAACAGAGACCTCTCCACCCACAGCAATGCACCACTAAGTAACAAACACGTATATGAATTAAGTTAAACAGATTTTGCCCATCTACAGTAGTACCTCAAGTTGTGACAAAAACTTCATAAAAATGTCGAGCTCTTAGACATTCAATACCCCCTCTTGATTGCTCTTTTTTGCTCCATTTTGTCCTTTGAGAAAATTTGTTACGCATTACGTAGGCAGTCAGCCTATTCGAAACAAAAAGATGTATCAATTTGAGATTGACTCACTAAATTGGATATGTAGCGTTTCCAGGAACATCGTTGTCCGTGCATTCGAAGCTGAAGCATAAGTACCATACATCACTTGTAGGTAATTCACAACTATATAGATACTATGATAACAAATCCAACATCTTTTTTTACAGATGTGGAACCTGATCTAAACTACATTTTATGATTGGATAAATTAAATGTTTTACCAATGTAAAGTATTTAATATTAACCAATCATGATCCATCTAACTAACAACCCACTTATTTGTAAGTGCTGAAGTTACTTGTAATTTCAGCACCAGAGAGATTTGAATTTAACTTAGAAATTAGTTGGACTCTCCCGAGCACTTCAGCAGCCGCAATAAACCAGTATACCCTAGATCTATTGAGCCTAGCAGAGACTAGTTAAACAACCTGAGACTAGATAGTATAAGAGTAAGATTAGGATCGGTATTAGACTAAGAAGTTGCACGAATCTATCCGGCCGAAAATAAGATAGCGTGACGAGCAGACGGTGTACCCTATCCGAAATTACTCTATGAGTTACACTTCGGTCCTAACTCATCTGGTGCGACCATAAGTCTCGAACAAGACCTTAATAGATTAGAATTAACCAAAATAGATTAGAAATTAGACAAAAACATTTACAAAAATGTTATACGACAATAATTTAATCGAAATGTCTCTACGACTCAATAGATCAGAGCCAATATTCCGAACCATAACAGAACTACCCGGAATTGGAAGAAGACCTCGAACCAAAGACGACATACGACAAAGTAGAAACTTGCCGTATAGTTATATGATAGTTCGGCAAAAGCCAGAACAAACTTTTATATTTCGAATACTACTTGCAATGAATTTAGATTTCCATTTGCAAACATAAAACCTTGAAGTTACTCTTCAAAATCATTTCAGGCGCTAAACAAATTTATTAATATACAATAACGATTGATAAAAAGATCTAAGATCGTTTTCCTAAAACTCTGCAGTATTATACAAAACATGTTTGAAAAATATTTATTGGAAAATAAAAATAAAAATTAGTAGCATGACAATAAATGGTTAGTAATCATAAATCATCCTGTTGTTCCAGCTTCATCATCTAAAACATAACAGCAATCATAAACCCACTAATATCATCAAAACACTAAATCTTTCCTTTACACACATTTAAAATTTTATTAAAACTTAAATTCACTTAATTTTAAAACCAGATCATCAAGGCTTATCCTTGGATCTTAAATCATTTTCTACTTAATTAAATTTCAAATTTGATCATCAAGGCTTATCCTTGAATCAAACAGAACAACTTTGTTCTCCCCCACCCACTTAATTAGTGTCTAACGACCTCAAACGTCGATTCACTACCCAACCCTTTCTAAAGACCTAAGACTAATAGAAATTTTTAAACAAAACTAATCATTCAAATTAGGATAAACAGTGAAGAACTTCGGTTATTCATCCTTCACTTGACCCCCCCTCTTACCAGACCCAGGATAAATCTTAGACTTAGTAAGTTTAAAATAGTATCTAACGAACTACTCGCGTTCTAATTATACCTGAACCTTGTGGATCGATTTACTATTCTCCAACCCTTGAACACAATCACTACCCCTAAGTAAGATTAGGTAAGTTAACACCTTAACTTATACTAGCCACGAGAAAGTAAAAAATCATTCTTCGGAATCGATATACTTTTCTCTCCAACCCTGAACAAACAGACCCAGGTTAAGCTAACCAAAAAATCGTAAGAACTAACAGTTTAGGAAAATAGAAATCATTTAACAACCCTTTGCATCCGTCATTCTAAACCTTATGTCATTTAAAAACCTAGGAAATAAACAAACAATCGTTTTACACAATTGTGAAATAGATAACAAAAAATACGACCTTGTAATCACACCTCATACACAAACAGTTGGATACATTCGAACAAAACGACAAACACTAAAAAGAAAAATAATAACGAAACAAAGACAAATAACACGAAAAAGATTTTCAAAAAATCGAAACGCATTTTCAGAATCAGAAACCAACAGTTTAGACGAACTTTACAAACTAAAAGAATCAATAGATAAAAATTGCCCAATTCACGATCAATTATATTTCTCTGACTCAGAAACAACTTCAAATTCATCACAAAGAGGAAAAAGAAGAATAAAAAAGCAGTACAAACACAAACCAGTACATTTATACAATTGGAATCAACCAATTCGACACATTAATAATTACATATTAACAGTCATCGAACGAAAAAATGAGTTCAACGCACACCCCAGGTGAAGAAACTCCAGATGATGATGAAATCTTTCCTTTTATAGTAGACGCAGATACTGATAGAGGACAACACATATTTTGTCAAAATTTACTCGTAAATTTATTTGAACCCGGAATCAGTCCATGTAAAACAGAGTTCCCCGATGTAAAAATCAAAAGACAAATCATAGATCACTATCTAAAAGATATATGCAACATAACACAACAATATGGAATCTACTCCATAGAATTCACCTCACCAAACCATAATAATAGAAAATATACAATTCAAACAGACGATCTTGATTTAGAATTTTCAAAAGTTTTTTCAGAATATATAAAAAGCATCCAATACCATAACTCACAAAGAGCAAACTCCATATTCACCAATGAAGTTTTCGCAATAATATATAGTTATATTTCGATATTAGAAAACGAAATCCCAATAACAAATGTCTCACCAAAAGAAACATCTAAACATTTGAAAGTACGACATGAAATCACACTACTCTCCAGTTATTTAAACATCATTAAAGAAAATTTCACGAAAGACGACGTTTCACAACATACAAAACACGATCTACAAAAAATTTTGGCATGGTTCATAATAGATTACTTCACACACAATATTGATTTAATTGCACAAGCAAGAAAAAATTTTAGACCCCAAAATTCGAACGATGATACCGCTATCACAGAACAATCAGATTATGTTTGGGACCCCGAATGGTCTCATCCCGCATTTATAAGCTTTCCACAATCAATCTCAAGTCAAGCAATAGATACAATATCTTACATAAGAGATTATGTAAGAGTAATACCATTAACAATTGATGCAACACCATTAAACTATAATACATTTTTACCCGATACACAAAATAATAGTTTAAACTCTACAGTTATACACAATGAAAACCTCAATGGAACTAGGAATCTTACTCAACAAGATATCCAGACACCATCACACTTCATAAATGAAGAAATTGTACACACAACAACTACGCAACAAAGTATTTCACCAATACGCCCAAATTTAACAACACCAAGAAATACAAATCCTTCACAAACACAGGTAACCTTACAATCAACCGTTAAACCTTCGGTTGCCCCTAAATATTCACATATGGATTACCAAACATACAGACCCATGACAATACCACCAAAAACACGCAAAACATTCACTAGAAACAACTTTGCAGACCATAATTATAATTATACACATCCATCAAAAACATATAATCAACCACAAAGAAATTTTAACCAATATACAAGATCTCGAAATTGGGATAACCCAATGGCCCAACCTAATTCAACAAATTTCCAAACAAATCCTCCACGGGATCACAGTGAAAATTACCCATTTTTTCAACAAAATAAAAATAAAAAACAGACATCTTATCAAATGGATTATTTATCCTCAGATGATGATTTCTTACAACCAGATATATTTGCACAAAATACTCAAGAATATCGTAGACAAGGAATACAGAGAACACGTACAAATCATAGAAATTTTTCTCCACAACCAATAGATGCACAAAATCAACAACCAATTCAACAACAAAATCCAATTAATACACAATCTTTTCAACCAATTCAACAACAAAATCCAATGACTGCACACTCGTATCAACCATCACAAATGCAAAATGAAATACCACTCCCATATTATCTCCAACAACATGAGATAACAAGAAACCAACTTTCAAATTTTTCTCAAATGCCAAATGCAGCAGAATCATTACAAATGACAATGAATCCATACCTTATGGGTGGATCATCAATAACATCAAACAAACCTTTAATGGTTTTCACAGGAACAGACCCTGAATACTCTGTAGAAGATTATTTAAATGCAGTAACAGCAAACCTAATTTTAAATATTGGACCTGAACCAATTAATACGCCACTACATCAAAATTGGATACATCGACGCACAGCGTTAATACAAACAACCTTAGATGGCGCAGCCCAAAAATGGTTTTCAGTACTACCTCTAGAAATAAAATCAAACTGGAAAAGATTTACACAAGAATTTTCAAAAATGTTTGACTCCGAAAGAAACAAACAACAACAAAGAGTTTTATGTAATGAAATTCGCAGATTACCAAACGAAACCATCAAGCAAATAGCAGTACGAATCGAAACACTAGTTCGAAAAGCATATTCATTAAATACACATGACTATAAAAACACAAAGATGACAGAAATCTTAATGATGACCTTAACACCACAATTAAGGAAAATAGCAATAAAAAAGAGAGCATCACATCCTTCTTCAATTCGAGAACCCGATTTAGATTTTCGAAAACTAGTAGACAAATTAGAACAAGCAGAAATCACGATGAAACTAGAAGAAACGGAAAATCTGAAATTACAATACGTTAACAGAATTGAAACGACTCCCACTAATATTAATAATATACAGGAATCAGAGACAGACCTCGTTGAAAAAATCACTGAAATACTCAATATCTACGAAAAGAACCCAAACTTTAAAGGCAAACCATCTTTCAAAAAATGGTGTAATTATTGCCGACGATACGGACATAGTATTTCCGAATGTAGACAAAAACAGCAAGATAACCAAAATAAACCTCAAAAATATAAAGAACCAAATAAATCATTCTATCAATACATGAAAAAAGATCAAAATCTACCGAACAAAACAGTCCACAGCAACAACAGTTCAGGAAAACCACTCCCGAACAATACAAATTATACAAGAAATCAATCACCATATAACTCAAGTTATAGAGGAAGATCACCAGAACGAAGAAACACGTATAATTCATCACAAAATCACTA